GAGGGCATCATGTTATCTTAAAGGTTCACAGGCCAGGACCACACCACTAGTGCCTGAACCAGCTGTGAGAAACAGCAAGGCACATCCTTTCAAGAGTAAATATGAAGGTTTTTTTTTCCTAACAGTAAATTCCCCCAGTTATCTTGGCAACTAGGGTTCCTCTCTGCACCTCAGCACTAGTTTTCTGTGGGAGATGGAGAGGTCAGCTCGGCCTCTTCGAGTCTCGACTGGATGATAATGGGGCTCTGGAAAGGAGACAGAGGGTCTGAGTAAACAGGGGTGTTTTGTACCTAGCCATAAAACAAACTCTCTGCTGATTATGAAGACTTGTTATGGAATCTGCTTGCTTTTTAGCCAGTGAATTTTTAGTGGAAATGTACTGAATATGCATGTTAAAATATAAAAGGCTTGCTTTAGAATGTAGAGAAAGAGGGACATACATCATGATCTTGATTATTATGGCAATAAAGAATCTTCCTGGCAAGAGAACCCTGTGTTGTGTGAATAACTTGTAACAGTTTTCCACATATCTTATGAACTTTTTCACCCATCTTCCAGGGCAAGGTTTCTAATCCAATTTACAACACTGTGCCATGTTGTCTCCATAAAGTTCTGATAGGGCATGGGATGCCATTCCATCTTCCTAGTGGGAAAAAAAAAAAAACAAACTAAAACGGGTACAATCTGCTTATTTGTGCTGAAGACTTCCAGCTCTGCTGGGAAATCTCTTTGAAGGAAACAAACCTAAGTCAAACTCTATGCTTCTATGAGACAACTCTGGTTGCTGTGGGAGGAGTGGAACACTAGCAACACACAAAGGCATGTACAGTGGGGAGATACAAATCCATGTCTGGCTGTCAGTCACAAAGGGAGACCCACAGCCTTTGTCTACATGTGTGTCGTGCCACAGCTGAGGTCCTCCTTGCACTGCTCCAAGCCATCCATAGCAACATGCCATCAGTGTCCAGCTAAAGCTGGATGATCCCACAGAAGCTGTAAGAAACGAATGCCTTCTAGGAATGTCCTACACCTTCAGCACTAACACAGATATGGTGTTGCCCTGAGATTAGAGAGGAAGGAAAATAGCTGGACCATCAGACCTGCTAGAAAAACTGTCAAAGACAGGCTTTTTGTTTTCCTTCCCTTACATCTATAGTTGTTCTGCCATTTTTAGGGTAGAATATCTGGCTTGTTGGTATCCAACTATATATAGCTGCAGAGTGAATGTAGATGAATCAAGATGTTGTCCAGTGGATCCTGCACTCAGTGTATGCAGGAAGAAAGAGTGGCTGATGTTCAGCACTGGATTCTAGTTTTGTCTCTAAGACAGACTATTAAATCACTTAAAAAACACATTTTTCATGGCTGGCCAAGAAAAGGGTCCTAAGTTTTCTGAAAAGGCTAAATTCTAACCTTGTGCTTTTATTGCTAAAAATGTGGCTGAAATGTAATGTCAGTAGCTGTAATGCTATCTTCTCCTTACTGCATGTTATCAGAATGCATTGAATTCTGTTTGTGAAAATCTGTGAAGCTCCTACATTGTTGTATACCACTCAAAAGACTGCCACAAAATCAGTAACTGTCTTCAGAGGCGAGATGGAACAGTAGGTAGTAAGGCATGGAGTCCAACACTGGGCAACAGAGAGAACAAAATATTGAATAGCTGCTCATTAAGAAACTACCATATTTTCCATGCACTGAATGGGCTTGTCATTAATGACTACCATTTAACTGAGCACAAAAGAGGCAAATCAAAATTTCTGCAAACAACATGAATTCTGGCATTTTCTAACTTCAGACTGCTTAACTTTGCATCCTTAAAAGCTTCAGAAGCATTTTTTGTGTGGAATTTATAAGCATAAAGAGCTATAAAAGGATTCCCTGTAGATCAAAAGCACATTAATACTAACATTTCTGAGGCTTCCAGAAGCATCCACTGTTGACACACACAAAGGTTGCAATGAAATAAAAATTTAATTTCTAAATTTCTTAGTTAGCATAGAGAACCCTGGTTACTGTGGATTAATTTATACTTACACATATAGCAGTGTAAACTTTAATGTCATACTAGAATTGTAAAAGATACTACTGAGTTTTGATTTAACTTAACTAAGCCATTGCTAAACAGTATTGAAGTAGCTCAACTCTCCATATGAACAGACTTAAGAAAATAACAAGAAATGTTCAGAAACATAGGGAACATTTAAATGAATATAGAGTATTTTGCTACTTAAACTAATGATCCCCTTTGGAGCATCACACTGATATGATTATGCCTGTAGCTAACAGTTTTGGGCATCTATGTCCCACGCTTCAGTGTATACTTGACTGTATACCCCAGGCCTGTAGCACTGCACTGAGTTGTTGTTAAAGCTCCTTCTCTGTGCTAATCCACAGAGGGTATGGATTGTTTGAGCTGTCAGTAGCAGATCCTGCCTCTTTAGTTCAAGCTGTAGGAAGTAAAACACAACTCCAATGCGTCAGGTAAGAAGATATGATCACACTTGTTAATCAGCTATTAGAACACCAAGTGTTTGCATATTTATGGTTTTATACAGATCTCCTTCTATGCCCACTTTCATCTGTCCTTGTGCCTCATGAAACTTTCAGAAACATGTATTCCAAATATCTTTAACTGAATTTTCTCAAAGATCTGCATGTGTGATTGAATTGCCCTCCTCTGAGACTTCTCCCTAAGTTCCTTCTAAAAAGTTGGTTCTGGAACCAATTTGTAAAGGTTTGTATGTGAACCATCAGGGAGAAGCATTTCATCTTCGAACATTTCAACAGTGAAAAAGCAAAAAGTGAAAGATAATTAATTAAGAAAAATATATATATCTGTCATTGAATTCATCACCGTCCCATGCTTGGCTAGGATCAGCTTTTCCTCTGCTTGATCATTTCCTGTTCTACACTTTTGTGCCGTGTTGTCAAACGTGCAAAGGACTGGTTTATCCCTGCTCTATTTTATCATGTTATTCTCCCAGCTACTGTGGAAAGGCTCAGTGTAGCCTACAAGTGAGCACTGTGTATTTCCACTTCACTTTCAAGGCTTGCATTTTATGTGTTAGATTAAACTGATACCTTTATAAGGCATCTGGTAGTTTTGCATTTGGCAGTTTGCAAAGAAGCTGGTACAGAGTGGTGGAGTATTCCTTGTTTTATATAATTTGGTATGTAATTAAGATATAATTGCTCTACTGGCCTTTTCTCATGTCAGTGTACAAACAGTCCACTCCACCTAGTCACAGTATATTATATGCTCATAGTTATCCAGTGAAACAGTGTAGTTACTACCTGTGAATCAATTATACTCAACAGACAGACTGCTTTGTGCTCAGCACGCTCATTTTCATGCCTGATCTTACCACTAAGCTGAATGATGATGCCCCACTGATTAGAAAAAAAAAACCACCTATGATTTGAAGAAATGAAGTGAAAATTGCTATCATTAACCTTTTGTAAAGCATTTAATGTATCAAAATGTTTATATAATCATTCTTTTAAAAATTTTCTCATTTTTCTCTTCCCTCTTCTCACACTTTCCTCCTCCATCAATCTGAAAACCTGACTAAAATGTCTGCTTTAACATGGGCTTTTAGAGCTGAAGATAAAAAACTCTTACATAGAAGTGTCAATTCAATACATTTTCCTTTAAGCTAAGTCATATCACCCTAAGAAAAAAAGGGATTAACAGATCAAGCTGGATTAAACACTCTCTTCATTAATACAACTACGAACTGGGAAAGCAAACAGTATTTTTAAACTCAGCTTTCTCCTCCAAGTTTAGTCCAGTTAAATTTCAAAAGAGATAAAATGAAGAGGAAAAATCATCAATTGGTTGCTGAAGAACTGAATTAAATATCTGACTTCCTTCGTGGTCCAGAGCACATCATTTCATCTCTCTTACTTCTTAGCTCCTTCTTTGTTAAACAGGTCATGTGTAAAAACTTCAAAAATTGCTAGAATTATCAAGGATTGTCAAGCAGTAAAATCCAGTTGAAATTAGAATGGTATCTACAGATACAAATAGCACTTGCAAAACAAATTTATGCCCTCTGAAATTCTTTGTCAGTGTGTCCATCAGATCATCAGACCAAATGCAGGGACTGTGACCGTAGAGCCGGTACTCAGCATTTTAACAATTCTGATAGAAGATCTGTCTTCCTACAATCCTAACTCTTCTTGTAGACTACAGTGTTATTGCTTTAAAAAGTGAAAGCTTTTACAGAAAACACTTTAATATGGTTGATAAATACCAACAACCAAACAGGCATACAAAATGGCATAAAAAGCTTAAGGTAACTTAGAACTGAAACAGATTAGAAGATCTACAATAATTTGCACTTCTCTTTACATCCTAGAACTCCATAAAGCTAGTAATTTTTTCCCTGTTTATTTGGATTTTTCTCATAGCAATAAGAACAAAAATTGAAAACCTAAAAAAGTGATTGTAAAAACATAAGGGGAAAATTCTCTGGCATGAAAAAGAACTTGAAAAGCATTTAGTCAATTTCATCCTTAAGTGACTATAGTTCAAGTTCACAGTACCCCTTGAACCATGAGAGATGCTTTAATTTCAGCAGGACTCCTCAATTACACAGATCTGTTCGTGATCTTTGGAGGTCTCTGTCCTTTTTTCCACTATAATGTTTTTCAAAAAGACTCCAGTTCTCAAAGCAGTATCTGACAGACTAATGCTGTCGATCTACTCAGACAAGCTGGAAAGCTTGTATGTGCTTGAAATGCACTGTGGGTGAATCTGTATAATTTTATAATTAACAATTCACATCAACTACTTCTTTTTAGTGAATTCTCATGCCTTGTATGCACATCTATTATTAGAACTCTTTTGGAAAAAGTATTACCCAAACAATACTCATTAATCAAAGAGTGTATTAATGAATCACTGTCCTGAAGCTGCTATTCTGTAACTGCTAAGTGATAAAAAAAATTACAACTTTACTGGTTACCTGGACTGTCCTGTGTATCACACTTACAGATTGCTCCTACAGCCTGATCTGTTTGCATTCCAACTTCTGGCAATTTCCCACAGCAGCAGACAGGTATTTTCACAGCCAAGCTTCACATGACAGTGTGGTCTTGTTCTCAGGTCCTCAGAAAAGAGGTACATGCTGTTCCACTGGAATTCTGCCCAACAAGCTGCACAAACACAGAAGCAGGTATCAACAAATGAACTAAACAATCTGAACATAAGCAAATACCGCAATAGGAGATTTCTCTTTCAATTGTAAGAGTAAGAAATACAACAGTCGTAAGTTTGGAAAGCTCCCTGAGTCAGTAGCAACTTTTAAAAGTGGGAAACTTTGCCTATGGTTGTTACTAACTGATAACTTCAACTGTCTCAATCATATGTTGCTATCAACAGAATCCAGAACCCAGAGCAAGCAGGCCGTGAAATCCAGGTTCTCCATTAGCTCATAAATATGGAAAGAGTTTTAGGCCCAGATACCTCCAACTCCTAAATTCTAAAGATCCAATTTTATCCCCTGCAAACTCTCAAACAATGAAATAAGGAATCTGTGATATAACATGACTTTATGGTAAAACTAAAGTAGCATAATTCTTATCAGAGTATTTTAGCGTATCTTTTCTCTGCCACCTGGGCTTTAAAATATTTTGTCAATGCTCAATATGGAATCTGGGCCTGAAAGATAACAAATTTTCAGTTCTTTTCTGCTTCACACAGTCACACAAAAACATTCTTTCTTTTGGGCTAGGCCACCACTCAATCATTGGTTTTGAAAACTGGATGAACAACCACATTCAATCAATAAAGACCAAAGGCTGGCATGCAGCCAGCGAAGAACAGCGCTCAACATCTAGATCAGGCCCAGATGATGACACAGAATGAACTCTGCACAAATTTATGTGTACCACTGGCCTTTATGAGGATTGGTAGAGCTTAATCCAGAGAGATCCCAATAAATTTGAGAATCAGGCAGATGCCTTGCAGAACTCAGCAGGGCAGAATAACCTCAGGAATAAGCATAGATTGAGAGCAAAGCGCCAGGGGATCAGGGGGGATGTCAGGATGGGTGTGAGCCCATTTAAGCCAACAGTACAGACTCTTTGCAAACAATGCAAGCCATCAATAAACTGGACTTCAATGAGAGAGGTGTGGCAAGGAAAATATTTTCCCACAGTCATTAAAAGAGATGAATTAGGACCAAAATTTTTCAGAGCAGCTGCCAGATTCTACTTTAACTAAATACTGCCCAGGGAAGTGGTGGAATCACTGTCCCTGGAGGTTTTTAAGAAAAGTGTACATGTGACACTTAGGGACACAGTTTAGTGGGCAAGGTGATGATGGGCAGATGGTCGGAATAGATGATCTTAGAGGTCTTTTCCAGCCTTAATGATTCTATTATTCTAGTATGTACAGAAAGAAAAAGAGCATCATCTCATAGAAATGGGCAACATCTGGGAAATTAAACAATAGAAATCCTTGTCCTCCTTGTCCCTGGAGGCAATGAACAGAGAAATAATCTTCCTTGAAAGCTTGGTGACTTTCTTGTCAGAGGTCACAGTGTTGTCCCAGCAAGGGCTGATGCTGCCTGCCTTTAATATCCCTCATTTGAGAGAACAGTTTAATTCTGAAAGCTGGCTAGAAGCATTACCACCTGTAACAGGAACATTATATCATATTCCATGGCTTGTCAAGTAACAAGCCATGATGATCCTGAACGATTCCCTTGAATCCCTTATCTACCAAGCAAAGTCCTTCTACTCCTTTTTCATATCATCACAAGCAGAGAGCTTTTGAGGCACTGTGCATGCACAAGTAAGAGGCTTTGAAAGAACGTGTTTATTGCACACAGCACTTTGTGTTTTAGGTCCTAATGGTTTAAAAACTCGTAATGGTTTTTAATTTTTCACATCGTTACATCTGATTTTTGCTTACTGTGATTGCATTCTTGATTATTAAAAAGTAACTGAGAGCATAGTTGGAGTTTGCATTTTTTATGCATTCTAAATTATTTTTTTAATACCTCCTTCTGTTACAATAATATAAGCAACTTACTACACTCAAGAGTGAAAGAAAGGCAATGTAGGAGGTGGCAAAGGCAGGTGAATGGCCCTGTTAGTATCAGTGGAATCAGCTGTGGTGGCTGTGGGCAGAAATGCCCACAAAAGCCTGCAGTGTTTAGAACTCCAGTTACACGTATGGATGTAGAAATAAAACTGCAGATAAATCTAATTTTAGCTCTGAAAATCTCAGTTATTCAAAGTGAATGGAAATGTTTTTTGTTTTTTTTTTTATGGAGAATGGAGGGCATATTGCATAGTAGCACACAAATGCTTTGTCTGCCTGCTGAGGCTGGCTCCTGTCATTGTGGTATGAATCACAGCCTGAACCCTTGTTGGCTTAGAAACTGCCATACTTGCCATTGCAGGATGGGATGCCAGTGGAAACACAGTGCTGCTGCTAATGCTTGTGTCATGTTTATTGCACATGCCTCGTTGCTTTCTAAAACACAGTAAAAGCAGCTTCCTTTTCCCTGAGAGCTGAATGCCAACTTCAACTTCATACCAACTTCAAACCTCTGCCTGCCAGTGTACCACTCCTGGCACCCAGCAAAGATGCACTGCCTGTTCTGGTCAGCAAGGAAAACCCTAAGCACCATCCCTGTAACTCCTGAGCAGACACAATTATTTTCAATCTGACAGGTACAGCACCCTGCTCTCAGTAGTGCAGGACTAATCTACATAGTATATTTGTTTTTCAAAAGGCAGCAAGACAAACAGCAGGATGAGAAACTCCGGAACACCTGTTCTTTTACAAGGTGAAGGCATACTTTTCTGAAAACAATTATAAAGAGGATTCAGAGACAAATCTTTGTCTCTTTTTATTTGAATACTATCATAACCGATTTATTTGAATACTATCATAACCGAGCAAATGATTATAGGATGTGTCCCCCCAGTCTTTCTTGTAGCATGTGTGAATATTTCTCAGCAGTGTAATGTTCAGCATCACCTACTTTGAGTCAGGAACTTGTAACTAAGAGGAGAAACTGTCTCCAGACAGTTATCTTATAATGCAACATCAGATGGGCAAATGGGATATAGACTTCCAGAAATATCAAGTATGCGATTTCTAGCATAAGGAATCCCTGAGGAATGAGCATTTTTATATTTGAGGGGTTATTATTACCCTCCTGTCACACAACATTTCCAGTGAATTCAATGGGATTTTGCACTACAGTTAAGCAGGTGCCTAAGTTTTAAGAATCTAGCATTTGAGTGTTAGTAAAAACAAAGAGCAGGAGTTGGTAACAATGAAACAGCATAAGTTTTAACATGGTTTAGTGGGTATAGAGATGATGGGTTGATGGCTGGACTAGATCATCTAAGTGGTCTTTTCCAACCTTAATGATTCTATGATTCTATCTTCCACAGCAGCTTTGAGAAAGCATCAAGAACACAAAGCTCTCCAGCAACAATTGCTCTGTTTTGCTGGAGAAGTTAGGTAGTAAACAGCCTCCTACATAAGAAGGAATCCGTAAAGAAAACATTTGCATTCAAAAGCTTAGAACAGCAAAATCAGTTTGCTGCACACTCCTACCTCCTCTTTGCTTTGTTTTCAGCTACAGACACTAAAATGAACCACTTATGCCACACAGAGATAATTCCAAGTCTTCTGGGACTTAAGAAATGGATTAATGTTTCACATTTAAATAACAGGGAGCTGAATCATGAGGGAACATGAACGCATACTTATAATCCTCTATTTCTCTCACCTCTCATCTCCCAGTCATAAAGATACCCTCCTACACCCCTGAGGTACCAGCACAAAAATCTCCGGGGGGAAAAAAGTGGAAAAAAGGACTCCCTGCTTAAGTCAGCTGGCAGCATTACAGGGGTTTTATCACCTAGCTCGCTGTGCTAGTGGGCTGAAAGGAATGCTGAAGGTTAACAGACTAAGGGAGCGACGAAGAACCCAGACAGGGAGCTGAATGCGCTTTGACTTGTTATTAGCCAGAAACGCAGAAGCAAGGCGCAGACGGGGCCTCGTGGGCGTCACTGAAGAGCCGCTGAAGGAGACGAGCGGGCACAGGGTCTGTGAAGAAGAGAGTCGTAGTGCTGCCCAGAGCTCTGGCCCAGCCTCGCAGCAGAAGGGCGGGCTAGCAGCCGGGCTTCGGTCCTGCTCCCGCCTTCAGATCAGCGAGAGGAGCGAGCGCGGTCTCCCGTCTCAGAACCGCGCCGCAGCGGCTCCCGGTTGCCAGCCCTTTAGTACCCGTGAGAGCCTTCAGGACGTGAAGGAAGGCCATGAGGCGCAGTGAGCTGGAGCCGACAGTAAAACATCTCTGCGCCAGCGCGGCGCCATCTTGCGTTACGGAAGAACCACGATGGCAGGCGCCATTTTGCATCTGAGCGGGAGAAGAGAACAGCCTCGCTGTTTTCTGTCTGGGCGCCGCCATTTTAGGTTACGGAAGAATCTCCGCCTTCCGTAAAGCAAACTCATAGGGCGCCGCCATTTTGGTTTACGAACTAGCCTGCGACCCGCAGGGGTCCTCACCCCCTCCCTTCCTCCTCTTAGGTGTCTTCATAAAATGCCTGTGGAGAACCCCCTCTTTTTTCCCTCCGCTCCCAAGATGGCGTCGATGCGGGAGAGCGACACCGGCCTGTGGCTGCACAACAAACTGGGCTCCACGGACGAACTGTGGGCGCCGCCGAGCATCGCCTCGTTGCTCACGGCGTCGGTGATCGACAACATCCGCCTCTGTTTTCACGGCCTCTCCTCGGCCGTCAAGCTGAAGTTGCTGCTAGGGATGCTGCACCTGCCCCGCCGGGCGGTGGATGAGGTGAGCGCTATGCGGGGGCAGCGCGAGGGGAGAAGGAGGGGTACGGCAGTGCCGGTATCATCTCCTCCATCCGCCTTTTTCTCTTCGTTGTATTTTCGAAGCGTAATCCGCGGGGCCGCCGCAGCCTCGTGCGGCCTGCGGGCGGTTGGAGCCGGCCCTGAGGGAGGGGGCCGCGCCTCAAGGGCAGCGCTGGGCAGGGGAGGCCGAGCCCCGCTTCCTCCTCGCCTTCTGGGGAGGGGAGGAAGCGAGGTCCCGTCCCGCGGAGCCGGCTGAGGCCCGGGATGCGGTGTGGGGGCTCGGCGTCCCCTCGATAAAGGAGTGCAGCGGAGGTTTCGCTGCTCTTCTGGGCATCTGGCTGGTACTCGTCTTCTGAAATCAGTTTGGACCCAAAACCTTTCTCACACCTCCACACGGACCCGTAGTTATGATATAGGTTTTGTGCTTTTGCTGCTGCCTTGGATGAGAGGGCTTTTCGGAGTCTGCTTTTGTTCCAGGATTAGGAGCAGCGTTACGGTTCTGCCGGCCAGGCACAGGGATGCGTATAGGGCTGCCTCCTTCCCAGTAGTAGTGGCTGGCTGTGTAGGTGAGCTGAACATCTTACGTTTAGGAAGGACAGCAGCAAGTGCTGAATCTTTGGGAATGAAAGATCTAGTGTCTGCGCTCAGCAGGGTTTTTACCCACCTTCTTGTAGTCAGTTTTCTCCTCAAGCAGGACCTGACACTTCTTGCTTTGTGTTACCTGTCTGAGAACAGCTGGTGTTTTCCTTTCCTCCCCTGGCCATTTGGGGTACAGCTAGCACTGTAATCAGGCTTCATAGGTCCAGAAGAGCTCCTTTGCTGGCTCTGGACCATACCTCATCTATAGCTGGCTTGTTCCTGCCAAACAGCAGCTGCTGGTTGTTGATTGGAGCAAGAATGATTGAGAAACATTAAGTTTCTTCTGCCAAGTTGAGGAATTTCCACTTATGCCATGTGTGCCATGGTTTATAGTCATGGTTATGGAGATGGTGCACATTTAATTAGTCTGAGAGATTGTGGAGTCTCCTTCCCTGGAGGTATTCAAGACCTGTCTGGATGCTTTCCTGTGCAACCTATTGTGGGGAACCTACTTTAGCAAGGGGATGTACTTCACGATCTCCAGACGTCCCTTCCTACCCCCATGCTTCTCTAATCTGCACCTCAGCTGTGCTTGCACCAGACCCTGGGATAGGACACAGCTGCTTTGACTTTATTTATATGTATACTAGGCAGGGTGTGGGGAGATAAGCACACAACCAGAATTACGTATTAGCTTTTATGTACTTTTGAGTTGAAAATGCATGAGCTTTGGGGACTACTTATAAGCTCATATAGGCTGTTGTGTATGTGAAAATTACCTGGAGAAGTGTGGAGTAATTGTAAACATCTTTAAAATGATTCAAGTTAAGGAACCTTTACCTGTAAGAGCCTTAAAGCGAAATTCTTCATTTGGAAATCATTCCCATATGTAAAAGTCTTTTAACTTAACTGTGGAAGTGTTTTATTAGTCCCTTTGGAAAGTCATGTGTATGTTTTCCATGCCGTGTGCCAGTCTGTAGATGAGCTGGCATTTGGAAACTTAATAGTGTTAGAAAGTATGTTGCATCAGCTTTGTAAAACTTTGAGCATCAAGATAGTGGATGCAGGATATAATAGAGGTGTGTTATGCAACGTGTTAAATGATATTCCTTTTTCTGAATAATAGGCTGAACTTAGTTTTCTTCTCAAACATCTTTTTTAAATTTTTTTTTTTCTTTACAATAGAATTTTAACTGGCATAGTGTAACATGGAAACAATTTGGGAACAGACATCTGAGTAAAAAATTATGTGGGAATCAAGAAAAGTGTGGTATTACTTGGCTAAGAAGGGATTTATTTGGCTACTGGTCTTTTCTAAACCTCTGTGAAGGCTGCAATCTAGACAAGCAAATCTTCACTCATCTCTCTTGAAAGCTTGGTCCTTAGCTGAAGTGTTACATTTCTTCTCAAATGTAATATCCTTGGTTTTACACTATATGTTTTCATTTGCTGCTCCAAATATTGTATACATATAAGTGACTTAATCCTGTGGGATAAGTAATAAACTTGAATTTTTATCATGCTGTGAACCTCATTACAGCTTATTTGTTCCTGCTGACTAATAAGAATAATTGGCTCCCATTTTCATTTTCGCAGTTAAGTGTTTTGTATGCAGTTATCAAAAATACCCTTTCCTGCTGCAGTTCTCTGGGCAGAATTTGCAAGCTCTCAAATCTCTCTGCTTCCAAGCTTTTTGCTGCTTTTTTTTCTAGATTATCGTGCTTATTTTAAACAATGCCTGATGCTCGCTGCAGTGCTGACCACAGTTTCGGTAGTGATTTTGGCAGATATTGCTTCTGTTTGGTTTGTCCGTTGCATTCCTGTTAACTCGATTCACAACAGCAAGGTTTTGTGTTCAGAGTCAGAGTAATGTTAGAGTCAAGTCTGGAGGGAGGACTCTGTGCTCTATGAGATACAGTGAAAGGAAGGCACTGCCTGTCCCTGTGGTGGTCAGCCCTTTTGTGACGGTAGCTATGGAGAAGAGAGCACAAATCAGGCTTTTCTTTGCTTGCGTGAACCAGGAGTCTCCTAACTGTGGAAATGGGAGCTGTGGAATAGTAGCACTAAGGACTAAGCTTTTGTCTCCCATGTCAGAAGAGGCAGGCAGTTCTTTTTTGGCCTATATTTAATGTTCTTTGTTTTTCTGGATGCAGAGGGGTTTATTTTTATCTAATGTTACTCTTGGCCACACTATGCTTTTTCATGATTAAAATATAAAACATATACTATGATGCTATTTGATCCATCTTAGTTTTGAATTGAGTAGATATTAATACTGCACTTTCCAATGCTTTTAGCTTAATGAAAATGCTCTGTAATATTACAGATACTTATTAAACACCACCTTCTCTATGGCCCTGGAAGTTTAAAACTTGATTGGCTTTATTAGCCAGTGCACTTGTTTAAAGGTACAGTAACATGCCAATTTAGGCTTAATGGAAAGCAAATTAATGAGGCAGCTTTATAAGAAGTCTTGTTGGAGCTGTGACTTTGTGTATTCCTAGTAATATTTTCTTTTTTTTTGTATACTCATTCCCACAGTCCTGTTTCTATGCTCCTCCTGCACAGCCATTATTAATCTCCCTTTGTCTCTGTTCCCAGACTTTTTCCATCCTGCCTGATCCTTTCTTCTTATGTTTCTAGTGATATGCTATGCCAGCAGGCTGAGAAAAGTACTTAAGATCCCTGGGTTTTAGATGAGAGAAGTGCCAGAACATGTTGCTTCAGATCTTGACGTTCATGCTTAACAAGATGCTGGTTGGAGCTGATTGGACTCTTGCATGACCCAGTGTTGCAATCTTAATTACAAGTTTGAGATTATGGCTGTGCTCAGTAGGAAAAAAGTAGGATTCTTTCTTAGCAAGGTGTACCTCACAAATTCTCAAACTACAGCTTTTTCTCGGCTGTGGGTTCAGTAGCAAAGGGGGGAAACGTATATCAAAATCACAATTTGGAGAAAAGCCTGGGTCAGAACTCAAATCCAAGCTGACTAAATGCAAGCTTGTACTCAGGTGAGGTCTCAGCTGAGCTTGCAGCACTTGCTGGCGTGCTTCACTTGCCTGTGTGACAGTGGTTGTTCTTTCTCTAGCTGCCGTGAGCCTTCTTGATAGTGTTGCTCATCCAGTGCTAGGCAGACAAGTTGTTCTTCCACTCCTTCCTTGAGGGAACCAAAACTGTGAGGTGCAGGTGCTTGGACAGTGTTAAGTGCCTGAGCTGTAACTGCCCTGAATGTAGCACGGGTGCAACTGCTGGATGCAGCAAGAGCTATGGTAGGAATGTAAATAACACAGGTTGTAGCTCTGTGATTATTTATTTGTTTGCTACAAGGATGAGTTTTGTGGAGCAGACATGTAGGATCAATTAGGAAGATACAGGAGAGATCTTTCTTTCAACCATTATCTTTGAGTTTTTGATGGAAGAAATTGTATTCTACACACTTGCCTCCATCTTTGGTATCCAGAGTCTTGCTGGTGAACAAGTTAGAAGTAAACCACAGCTTCATCGGTTATCATGGCATGTTTTGAGGTGTGATGTGTAAAACAGCGCTGCTGAGAGATGCTCGTTTTCTGATGAATCAGATCAGTAATTCATTGGCAACGTTAACATGAGCCTTAAACAAGAATGCCTGAAGGGCAAACTACCCTCTGTTTTATACCTGAGTAAAGTCAGAGGGCAATAAACTTGTGTGACTGAAAGGAATTGGGAAATGTCAGTGTTTGTCTGCCTCTGAGCGCTGAGGTACAGAGGGCAAAAATTTAGCTTTCATTTCCCAGAGTTATGTTAGATTAAGCTTATGAAATCTTTTTTTGTGTGAGAAAAGGTCAGTTCTAAATAAAGGGAAAGAATGGAAGCATTAAAATGAAGAGGAATCTTTCTGCTCATTTCCCTCTGTTCAGAAACAGGTAGCCATAGTAATTAGCTACGTGTGCCGTAGTGGGTTGTGAGAAGTCAAAAGTGAAATGTTTTCCCTATTCTTAATTAAAACTCCTTTAATGCTAATATCATGCAGACAGAGTATGTCTAAATTACTTTCCATGGCTTTATTGTTATATTGCTTGACAGATTACATGCTACATCTCAGAAATCTCAGTTCTTTGAAGTTAATATATTAATGCTTATGTAAGAAGAGCAATGAAACAGGAGTTCAGTCTGTATTTTGGGGGTTTAAGCTGGCTATGAATGATGCAAAACAGGTGACTTAAGAATTCATAATACACTCAGTCAAATCCCAGCTGTGGTCTCTTGATAGCTTTTTTCCACAGTGCTATCACACGTTGGTCAGTAATTTAAAAAATGACTGTGACAATCTTATTCATTCGTATTACATGTTCTTTCCCATTTTAAAGGTAGATGATTGAAAAGTATATCCTTCTCGCTGTTGAGGCTTTAGCTAGGTAGAAAACCTTGTTACTTCTGGTGGCAGGGAGTCGGATGCACAACTTCAATAAGCAGATTTTGTTGAGCTCATTAGCATGAAACAATTCTTGGCCTAAAATTCTGGGGACTTGGCTTATGTTGGTGTGATGTAGAAATGGTCTAGCTGCTGTTCTGTAGCAGAAAGAGGGGTCCATCTTCATTTAGATGTCTGTTTAAATAACATGTTTTCTAGTTGAATATTGTTAGCACTGACAAAGGTGTAGATACATAGAATTGTAAGTGGGCTGTGGAACGTACCAAGACAATACCATAAGATTCTGGCTTGTATTTAGTGAAAATTATCTGAGGTGAACAAAGCTTTGAGCTGTCGGAAGTTCAAAATGCACTTGTTAAATTGACCAAAAGCAACATTAAAAACAAATCTTGGTTCATTCTTTGCTTTGTTCTAGAGTTAATGTTTAACTGTGATGTAGTCTCCTTCTTCCCTTCCCTAGTAGTAAAACATTGTGCATGTTTATCCTAGTGTCTAACAAATATAAAATTAACCCAACTTCAACTTGTTTAAAACTGTTTCCAATTGGCTGATTTTCTTTTTCTTTTTTTGTTAGATGAAGGGGGCACTGACTGAAATTGTCCAGCTCGCTACCTTGGATTCAGACCCCTGGGTCTTAATGGTAGCTGATATTTTAAAATCCTTTCCAGATACTGGCTCCCTTAACCTTGATCTTGAAGAGCAGAATCCCAATGTTCAAGATATTTTAGGAGAACTTAGAGAAAAAGGTAAGTGTCTGTTGAGAATGATGGAAATGTGGGATCTCTTTCCAGGAATAGCCTGTCTCTGCCTGGGCAGTTGAGGTATCTGAGTGGTGGTGGGACAAGCTGTATGTCTTCTCTCAACTGCTGCAGTTCATGACCTGGTGTATTCCGGAATGGGCAGCTGTGATACTTGAGGAATGGTAACCTCTTAAATTATCTTTCCACAAATCATCAGAGCTTGCATGTCAGGTGCCTACGTAATTTTAAAGGGCAACATTGAAGCTAATGTGGTTTCACTGGCTGTGTAGGCAGTCTGTATGTGCAGTGTTGGGTAATAACAGCTCGCCTTATTAATGTGCAGTAACAGTTTAATGTACTTCTATCTTGTATGTTGTTATATTGAAGACTGCAGTAAAACTTTTTTTTGCAGTACCTTGTGTGTCTGGGAGCAGCAACATTTGTGTTGGGCACATGAGGTGCCCTCTGTTCAGTCTTCCTTTAGCCAACAAATGGAGGAGTTAAGGGGACTGGTCAAAAGGAGAATTGAGTTGCAGTTGTCCAGCTAGCAAATCTATTCCTATTTAGGTGGGTTTGATTTAGCAAATTGTCCAGGAAAAAAACCAAACTTGTAGGCATTAGTGGTCAGAAGTGGCTTTGGAGTTAGGACTGCTGTAAGACAATAATGGAGTGACTCAAACTTGTCTCTATGAAGAAATGAGCACCTTCCCTCCAAGAATAGGCTGAAAGAGTTGGGGCTTTTCAACCTGGAGAAGGCTTCAAGACGACCTTATAATGGCCTTCTTCCAGTACTTGAAGGTGGCCTACAGGAAAGCTGGGGACAGACGTTTTATAAGGGCATGCAGTGACAGGATGAGATGAAATGGCTTTCAACTGGAGAAGGGTAGATGTAGACTAGATGGTAGGGAGAAAGGCTGTACCTTGAGGGTAGTAACACTGTGACAGGTTGTTCAGGAAAGCTTGTGGATGCTCACACCTGCAGGTGTTTAGTCCCAGGCGGGATAGGGGTTCAAGCAAACTGGCCTTGTGGGAGGTGTGCCTGCCTATAGCAGGGGGGCTGGAACTAGATGATCTTACGGGTCCCTTCCAACCCAAACCATTCTAATTCTGTGATCATTTGTGTGTTTGCAGTTTTGGTTTGGCTTTTCATTCAATAGCTTCCTTTTCATGTTGGGCTGGATATCAGGAAAAACTTCTTTACAGAAGGAGCTGTTAAGCACTGGAATCGGCTCCCCAGGGAGGTGGTTGAGTCACCATCCCTGGATGTGTTTAAAAACTGTTTGGATGCGGTGCTCAGGGGCATGATTTAGTGGAGGGTTGTTAGTTAGGGTAGGATGGTTAGGTTGTGGTTGGATTCAATGATCTTTAGGGTCTTTTCCAACCTGAGTAATTCTATGATTCTATATGTAGTTTTTGAAAGAAACTGAGGATTTTATCATTTTTATCTATCTTAAAACTGGAGCACACTTAAAATTCCTGTTGTTTGACTAGGTGTAGTTAGTATGGGAGCTTACAGACTTAATGTAGAAAGCACCCTAATAACTGGCTGTGTACTGTTCAGATGAGAACTCGATTATTTATGGTGTTTAAATGAGTTATCTAAACTTCATTAAATACCTATACAGTCTAGTTGTAGAATGTTTTGCAATATTCTGTTGAAGAGATGCTTATAGCTCTGTGTACTGTTAACTCTTTATGCAGTAAGTGAAGGTGAAACATCAGCTATGTTGCCGTTGGAATGCCAGTACTTAAACAAAAATGCCTTGACAACACTAGCGGGGCCACTTACCCCCCCAGTCAAACACTTCCAGCTGAAAAGGAAACCTAAAAGTGCCACTCTCCGAGCTGAACTCTTGCAGAAGTGTAAGTAGTTTTACAGCCAGTTATAACACTGAGTAACAACAGCAAAAGGAAAATTTCTCAGTCTTATTGTGCAGTGTGGAGACATATGCCAAAATCTCTTGCTATAAGAAATGTGACTGCACCCCAACACCTTCTTGACAGCATGTGTGGAAGAGCAGGTGCGAGTCATTCTAGCTATGATTATATTAAGATGCTAATCTTGATTTAAATGTTGTTCAGAGTTCAAGGGATACAAAAAGCTGTATCTTTTTAAAGCATAGATATGTCCTCTCATAAGTATATTTAAGTCAGCAGTGAAGACTTGAGGGACAGCTTTGGTTAAAGCTCCTGAAACAATTTAATATGCCATATGTTTCTGCAATGAGGAGCAAGAGCTGCTAGTTAACGCTTCATTTTGCTCAGGATAGCTGTATAAGGGGTGAAAGCCAATAGTTTTCACTAACAAAAGGCAGCATGTGTATGCATCTATATATTGGTAGCTAATCTCACTGATCTTAACGTAGTTTCCTGTACCTGCTGCTGTGTTGGAGCAGCTTGATACTTTCTTGCATGTGACCCAAGAGATTGGTGTTAAAAAAAAAAAACAACCTGTAAATCTTACAGGAAAATGTTACATCTCAATCTTACGTGGAACTTAAATTATTTCAATCTCTGTTGAATAAATTGTCTTTATTGTAGCTCTGGCCATCCTATCAGTTGCAGTTGTACCTGTTTTGCATTTCTCCAAGTATGTTGTAGCTCACAAATTACTTGTTTTTTTTTTATAATTGCAATGTAGTTCTTGTTGATATTCATAGTTTTTAGTTAATTACATTTTATTGTTACATATTAGTTAATGTTTTCTATAGGAAACTATATATTTTCTGGCACAGTCATTATAATAACTGAAGTTTTGGGTTTTATTTTCTTTTTGTAGCGACAGAAACTGCTCAACAGCTCAAGAAGACTGCAGGAGTGCCTTTTCATGCCAAGGGCAGGGGACTGGTCAAAAAGATTGATACAACAAGTATGGCTCACTCATATCACTTTCCCGAAAGAAGATCTGATAAAATAGCTTTCAAGTCTAAAATTACTGTTTCCTAGAAAAGCTTAATTCCTTCTGAAGCAAAGTATATATCCCCTTCTTTGTCTCTTTACTGCTTTTCGAATGTTTTTAACAAGTCTTATGAGAAGGAAGGGTGATGTTTTGTTAGATGTCAGTGTATCTGCCATGCTTATTTAGGATGCGTGCAGCTAGATCATGCCTACAGACTTCAGTAAGAACTTAATTTGCATTAATCCAGGAATAACTTCTGAGTAAGCTGCATCCCTCCAAGAGGGAGCAGAATGAGTGGCTCACAGTTATCACAGTTATCTACTGTAAAGTGGGTTGAATCTAGCTTGCATTTATGATTCCCCACGGAGAAGGGGAGGGGAAAATAGTGGAGATAATATGTGAAATAGTTTATGATTACTGCAGAGGATAGTTTGAACACAGGGTATAAGAAAAGTGCAAATCAATCTCAATCACACAGATTCCAACAGGGATTAGGAACACTTGAGCCAATAAATCATTCTGATATTCTTAACTACTTTCTAAGTGTTAATAGCATAGTATTTTAGTGGGAAGGTACACAGTAGCTAAGACTGTTTAGTGTTGCTTCTATTTAATAGCAGTACTTGTTTTTCATATCTGTTAATGTAAGAGTATCAACTGTTCACTCACATTCCAGAAATGCCTAATTGTTTTTTTTAATAAGCTTTAGGAGTAGGAAGCGGGTTTGAAATTAGTAACACTTTAAATAACATTATAGTTTTTCTGGCAGTCAATATGATGCTGAGATACAAAACTTGAGTATTTTCTTGGTGTGATGTTTAGAAGCTAAAATGCACTTTGTTGATGCATTTAATACATAGGTTTGAGTACCAGAGTACTTAGCCACAGGTCTGTGCAGGAAATGCAAGGAGCATAGTTGTAATTTGCACTAAAAATTGTCCCAGTGTAAAAATTGACTGTCAGTTCTGTTGATGTTTGAGTTCTCATCTTAAGCCTCTGAATAATAAAGCCAGTCTTTAGAGTCAGGTGGTTTCTAGAAATACCAATTATGGGACCAGTTGGGATTTACAGCGCTGAAACACTGGTAAGAATTGTCCTATGCTGAAAATGTCTTCAGTAAAACATACAGTGGGGTTCAGAGTAACCAGCCTCAAACCAAAATTCTGTTTGACCTAAAATGTCGATTTTCGATCTGTAGGCCATAAGGCTTGATGACCTGATAAATACATTTGTCTATCTAATTTTTTAGCAGTTGGTGAACGAATGCTGTTTTCAGTGCTTATTTTAAGTGTGATGTCAAGGGACAACATTGTAAAGTCTGGGGAAACACCATCATAGGTGTAGCAACTTCTATTCTACTGAGCATCGTGGCAGCAAGTTCTTTTGTTTGCAGTATGGAGCTAAGTTGGATACTTCCTGTGCAGACCATAGGTCCAGCATTTTAAACCCTTCTGTGAGACAGTAATTCATCATTCTCTGGATTACAAAAGGCTTGAGCTTTGCTGAGCCAATACTGCAATGTAATGTAGCTTGCTAAAGAGCATCTTCATCTGAGGCAGTGTCCTACCTTGGAGAATTTTGAAGCTATATCTTCATTTCTCCAAATTCCAAGGTGTTAGTGCTTTTGTTCCTTTGTGACTTTAAAGGCAGGAGCTGGGAAAGTTGTGAGCCTGGATGTAGAAGCTGTAGAATCACGGAATTCCATGAGTTGGATAGGACCCATGAGAATCATAGAGTCCAACTCCTGGCTCTCCGTATCACCACCCCAAATTGAAACCATATTTCTGAGAGCAGTGTCCAAATGCTTCTGGAACTGCAGCAGGCTTGGAGTTCTGACTGCTTCTCTGGGGAGCTTGTTCCAGTACCAGTTTATGCTTTTATATTCAGAGGTGCAAAGTGCAATAGTCAGTTTTGTGGAGGAACCAAAAATTTAAATTTGGGTTGATGTAACTTTAATAAAAGTGGTGATTTGTGACACTTTTGGAGAGCTGGGGTGGCTCTTGTGCCACCAGGAATTCTCCCAGTGTGGCTCCCCTCACAGTACATTCTTGCATAGGAGTTGTGTGGTGCTGACTGCCAGCCTGGAGTGGTGGCACCCTTGATGAGGGGAGTATCACAGTACTTCAGCTGTGATGTGCTGCCAGAGCTCCTCTGCCTTCTTAACTCTCAGAAGTAGGCAGCTATGTGTTGTGCCTTACAAAGGTCAGTAGGTTGATCATCCTGCAAAAGCTTTGCCTTGAATTACAAAAAAGTGTACTCCACAAATGCACTGTGAATCTTGGTTATTCACGATGTTCTGCATGTTATGGCATCCACAAATAGGTCTGACTCTGACCCCTTTGGTCCTAACGCAGCCTGTGGTTCCTTGAGACTCCTCAGTAAGCACAAAGGGTGAGCTCCCTGAAGGGAAGGAAGCACTGCATAGTCTGTAAGAATTGTAACAGCTTTTGGCCAGAATTCTTGGGTAGATACAGTTTTACCAAGTAGCCAGATCTTGAAGTTTAAAGAGTAACTGGAAACAGTAGGGTTCAAAACATTCACTCTTAGTAGCTTGTATGGGTTTGAAGTTTGTTTTTGTAAGGAAAGTATGAATATAAGAAGAAGCAATGTGCGGATTTCATTACTTCATTTAGAACGTATAGGAAAATAATGAAGATAAAACTAATAAAAATTACTTAAACTTTGGGATTGCAAACATTAGTGGGGAGTGACTCTCCTTGTTTGGAAGATAAAATCCAATCTGAAGTTTGAGGAACATTTAGTATTTTGTAGAGAGTTCCATTTTAGACACTTTTGAAGTTAGGGGGAGTGTTACGATGGGGAAAAAGTAAAGACCTCGTGTTTTTGTAATTAGTGAAGCTGGTGTTTTAATTGTTACTTTTTTTGATCTTACTTAAGCACCACTCAAAGGAATACCAAAACAAGCTCCATTCAGGAGTACTTCAGCACCTAGTGTATTTAACCCTTCTGGAAACAGAAATCCTATTCCTCCTTCAAGAACGCCTTTGCGTAAAGAAAGAGGAGTAAAGGTAGGTGAATTCCTGCTCAGTTCTCCTCCCCATTGTAAAATAACTTTTTGCTGCTGTTTTGAATCAAGCATCAACGTGTTAAAGAAAAAAAATAAGGATAGTATTGAAGTAGTTTAAATTTATATTGCTGTTGCTAAGATTCTGCACTCTTTTCTTCAGCTTTTAGAGTTCTCTGAGCTGGATATGGTAGGTGCTGGCCGTGAAGCAAAGAGAAGAAGAAAGACATTAGGTTAGTATGGAACACAGCTTTCAAAGGCTGTTAGGATACGTGCAGATACACCGGTTTTATTCTTGATGTGTTGAAACTCATCTGCTAAGTTTACCAGAAAAATGGGTACAAGCTTAATTATTGGGTTGTTCATAAAATTGTATATGAAGATCACTGTATATTCATTACTGTATCCTTTCAGCATATGCTTCTAAGGAATGTTCTAGCAAACTCTTTGAAAATGTGATTTGTTTTAGATCCCTGTTTAAATCAAATTTGGTATTTAAGCATATTTCCTTGAACTGACTTTTGTTTTTATGCAATAGATACAGAAGTGGTGGAAAAGCAAGCCAAAGAAGAAACGGTAGTAGAAAATGCTACTCCAGATTATGCTGCTGGCCTCGTGTCTACACAGGTATAAACAGAGCATCAGAGGAAAAAATCCTACCACGCAATCAAATAACAGAGATGAGAAAACTATGATGCGTATTATTCTAAAACACTTAAACACTGTAATTATATTGTTCTAAGTTGTTGAAACAGACTTCAAATGTATTTTTTTAAAAAAAACCACGTTACGTAATTATTTCAAAATTGCACTGTGCTATCTTTGAACAATATTTAAAAAAAAAAAATCAGGATCAGGGTGAAGTTCATTGCTACAAGTTTATGATAAGGTATGGCATTTATGCAATTGAGGACTACCACCTTCTGTCAAGTAGGGGACAGGAAGGTTCCCTACTGAAACAATGTCGAGAAACACAGTGGGGCATGGAGGGATATCTTGGGGATAACTGAATATCTGTAGCTGAACAAGAAAGAAATCTTCAAAAATTCATCAGTCTTCTGGCTTGAAAAAAGAACCTCTATGCTAGTACTATTCTGGGGCTCTCTTCTCCATTTTCCTTTGTAATCTTGTGAAGATGTTGCTTTATTTATTAATATAATTATTAATTACATTTAATTATATTTGCTTAATTAAAGTTGCTTAATTATTAATATATATTTATTAATTTAATTAATTTGCCCCATTATTACTGAAAGGGAAGGAGAAATACAAGGAACTGATTTCTATCCAGAATACTCTTGGCATATAATCTCTTCCTAAAACCCGTGAAGCTCAGAGGTGGCCACTCCTTCTCTTAGTGGCATTTTTAATCTTCATGAAATGTGCACGATATTGTGCTCTAAGTACGAAACAAGTGATTTCTTTTGCTTGATGCAGGACGGTATCTGTGTCCTACATTGGTGATGATTGCCTGTTTGAGTGCAGGCAGTCCTATTTAAGCTTTTACCTCTGGTTAGGCCTTCTGCATGCTGATGTCCCAGAGGCCTTCTTTGCACTCTTTCTGTGGTACTTCACCAGGCCTAACACTTCTCGTGTTTTGCAGAAACTTGGCTCACTGAACAATGAGCCAGCACTACCTTCTACAAGTTATTTACCTGCTACTCCCAGTGTGGTGCCATCTTCCTCATACATCCCGAGTTCTGAATCACAGCCAGGTAAGTAAGACACTTTTTTTTTTTTTTTTCTACTGGGAATTTATACCTCTGATCTGTTTGGTTTTGCTGGCTGACTTCTTTTATTTACCGACTTACTGTTCTTCAACTCTGGAACTCTTGGCAATCTGAAAACCCATTGCAGGAAGGTTAAATTACCTAAATATCTGCACCCAAGAAACAAATTAAAAAAATGCTGATTTTTTATTTTTTTTTTTGATTTTTTTTTTTTTTTAAGAATTAAAAAAGGCTAACTGTTTTGCTTACTTAATTTTCTAGGTTATTTTCTATCCCTGTTATAGGAAATGCAGCGTATTTTTTTAATTTCCAAAGAAACACTAGTGAGATTTATATTTATTTATATATACGTTTGTATAAATAAATCTTAGAGTATATGCTGGGTATACACACACCCACCTCCATGCACTTAAAGAACAGGTAATTGCTTTCAAGTGTCAGAATGTTCTTAGAAACAAGTACTATTTACTTTGACACTGGCATCCTTTTCCACTTTCCTTTTACCTTTTTATAATAGCTGAGTTTCTGCATATTTTGAAGGGGGGGGAAAAACACACCCTTTTGTAGAAATCCTTTTTTTCCACTCTTTAATATACTGGCCTTTAATTTCCTTTCCCTGCTGCATGTGCAGTTGTATGGCAGCATATCAACTTGCACTAACAAATGTACGTGACTGGGATTCATTACCAGAGCTTGTAGTTAACACAGAACCAGCACTGCAGTTTGTGTTATTTTTGTTCTTGCTTGTTAAATGTTACTGTAGCTTTTCCCTGTATGAGCTGTGGCATGTTGGTCCCCGTAGAAAAAGTCATACAGAAAAACTAATCACTTAACTTGGCTCTGAAACAGTTCAGAATCTCTCTGAAGGTCTATGCAAATCTCTCTGACAGTAAATTGGCATCTCTGGAAGGAATGCAGCCAAAAGCACATCAGTGTTGTCAGCAGCTAGTATTATTTTCCAGAGTGTTGGCAGTGTATTCCACATCACAAAAAGCCTAGTTTAAAGTTCTGTATTGTCTTTGTCTCCTGTTTTTTTTTTTTTTTTTTTTTTTCATTTTTTTTCTAACTTTCCTTACAGACAAGGAGTGCTGTTTTCTTAAAGACCTGTTAATTTGATTTCTTGTAATCTGATGTTGTGTAATTAAGATGTAGTTACTTTATGCAAACTGATTCTGACACGGAGTGAAGCTGGTAATGAAAGTGGAGATTTGTACAGAATGAATGGCTAGTATCTTGCTGGCTAAGAGCCATCCTGCTAAAGCCAGTGCTGTATCCATGCCTAGATGATGAGAGTACTGGAAGCTTCACATTCTCTAAAACTTGGTCTGAAAGGCATCAACTGAATTGTGATGTGTATCTGCCTTTTTGGTTTGTTGTGAACACAGATGAGTATAGGCTAGTTTAAATTTCATGAGACATGTAAAAAGGTACTTAAGTAGTTGTACCTATGTCAAAAGAGCTGCAAGAGAATGTAAGTAGCTGGAATGTGCACTGGCTGGCTGTTGTGTGCTGGATAATGTGGTAACTTGTGATATACCTTACCTCTGGCTGCAGTCAGCTTTGGAACAGGAGCTTCCTTGGGTGGCTGAGTACAGGCAAATAAATCAACTTCTCAATATTGTGAGGGTTTTAGCCCTCTTAGCAGTTAGTGTTTAAATGAATTATTTTGGGGACTTTTAATTTTATCTGTGCAAATATTTGTGTATTTTCAGTATTTGTTACTGTCTGAGATTGCACTATGTTTAAAAAAACAGGAATCAAAACCACAGTATGACAGACTGTGGGGTCAGCACACAGTTGTTATAGCAACATATATTAGAAAGTAGATCAATTTAAGTTTAACTTAAAGATGAAATCTGCTTCTAAATGTGGTGTAATCCATATTGGAAATGTCTTTACTGTCTAACTGATGAAGGTGATGGTCTGTGGAGAGCACTAACTCTTCATGTTTTCAGGTGGGTGTTTTCAGATGCTTAGAGTCATTATGATAAATAGAAGAATTGGGAATTTTAGATCCTTTTAAAATCCACTGGTGATGCTGAGCCTTGTTTGTGGGTTATACTTTGAATTACTCTGTTTTTTGCAGCTGGCTCTGCACGAGAGGCCTTGCAGACTAACAGGCAGACTGAAGAGCCTGCAGCTCCAAATGCTACCACAACTCTTCCTGCGCAATTCAAGCAAAGAACTCCCATGTACAACAGTAACTCGAATCCACCTGCAACTACACCTACCTCACCCCTCACACCTACCACACCTCCTGCCATCTCCCCTGCGGCACAAGCACCACAAGTGGCCCCTCAAACTCAACAACAGCCACCACCGAAAAAAAGCCTCTCTCTTACAGTAAGTAACAAATAGGTTGTTTTTAGATGATGCTTTTGATGTAGGTTGGAAAAGCAAAATTTATTTTCAATCTTACTTAAAAGTTTGACAATGTAACTGAGCTGCTTGTTTGCAACCAAAGATAAAGAAAATATTTGTGCAGCTTCATTATCATTGCTGCTTGAAATGTTAATCACAACTTTTTATTTGTGCAATGTTACTGTTAGAGTAAGATGTCTTTATTTATGTTTATTTATGTCTTTATTTCTTGCTGTTCATTACATAAAACAACGTGCTCCTTGTTGCAAAGAATTTGGGAGAAAGGCATAATTCCAGCAGTGCCTTTAGCCTTGCTTATAGCATAAGCTGCTAGAAGAGGTCGTGTTGTTGCACTGGTAGGAATGAAGGTATCAGTAGAATAAAGGCAAAACTCTTGATTTCTTTTCCTGTCCCCTCCTCGGGGCCGGCCCCCTCCCCCCCCAGATCTGTTAACAGTTTTTAAAAGCCTGGGAGTACAGAGGTAAATAAATAGCACTTACCTTGAAGCTTCTTACTGTTCCTATGTTTGTATGTTATGCTCGTGCTTGAAATGAGTCAGGTAACCAGTTTGAGATATGGCTGTCTCTGAAGACTTCACAAAGCACCTCTGTAAGCCCAGCTTGCAAGATCTGAACCTTGAGAAGCTTTGACTTTTCAGTAGCTTTGCTTCATTTAAGAAGAAAAATCTTCCCACTGAAACTACTGCAAGTCTGTGTGTTTTAGGATGTAGAGGCACTTTTTTTTAATTTAAACTAAGGTCAAAACACAATATGGAGTGGGAACAGCAGGTCTCTTAACACATGTTTCTGTAACTGTTTAAAGTGCCTACTTCTTCAGTGTAAGTTTCAGAATTGTCACTGCTGCAAGTGTTAGATATAAGCATTAAAGATGAAATGCTTTGAGGTTAAGGTGTTTATTTTATGTTTTTCTGCTGGAATTCATATTTGTTGTGTCTGTTACAGAGGGAGCAAATGTATGCTGCACAGGAAATGTTCAAGACTGCAAACAAAGTTACAAGGCCAGAAAAGGCTCTTATACTTGGATTCATGGCAGGATCCAGAGGTATGTATTGAAATTAAATTATTTTGCTTTTCTATCTCCAGTCTGAAACAAAGCACAGCATTTCTGTATGCGCGTCTCCTGCTTGACCTTCACTCAAGGTGTGCTAGAATCTAGTTTACTCTGGACTGGGATTATTGTAATGGATTAAGTTTTGGCTACCTGGAAGTAGTTTTTAGTCTTTTTCTCATAAAAATAGAACAATCTCAGAGCAGTCACTGAGCACAAAACTGAACCAAGCACGTGCGATACTGCTTAGTAGTTGAGGAGACTCAAGCCTGTCCAAATGGAACAGTGAACAGGCTGATTGGGTTCTAGTATTCTGTCTACAAGACAGAATGCAAATTCTCCCATAACAAGCTGATGTACAAATTGTGTAATACAGAGCCTCTTCAGTAGCACTGGAACATCAGAAATGCAGCAGCTGTTTTCTCCTACTTCAGGTATAGATGCTGAAAATCACAGGGAGATGAGCTGTAGTCTTGTTCTTGTATATTGCCCTTGATAGACCAAGACTTTCTACTCAGTTGTCTACTAAATCTAATATGAGAAGGAGCCTAAGAGTCTTCAAGTGAACTTTATCATCTGCACTGGCTCTGCTCTCTAGGTTGATATTTGAAGGCTCTTGTCAGAGGAGTGCTGAAGTCTAAATGTGGCTTATGCATTTGGATTAGTGCAGTACATCATTCAAGATAGCCAGGATAGAGTTACTATGATGATCCCAGGGCTTAAAGAAAGTTTTGTGTGTATTACATTCATGGGTGCTCTTCCTACCACTTCAGAACACTGTAGCAGGATGTACTTTAATACCTATATTGATATTTTTGTGATGTGAGGTAAACATTATTTTGACAGTGTGCATGTGTTTTCTGCATATGTGAATTTTTACATATGTGAATATACATAAGTAAATAATATAGATATATATTATATATATATATATATAATATAGATAGAGCAAGTTTGGTAGGTTCAAGCTTAGCAAATCCAAAACGTAAAGTTCTTGAGGCAGATCGAAGAGGCATTGGCATGCTTCCCTGCACTGACTCACTTCTGTTCTTCCAATTACTTTGCCTTTGAGGTTTATCTTTAGAGGTTTGGTTTTCTTATAAGAGAAATAAAGTCCATGATGTACGGAGTGAAAAAAGTCTTTGGCCACATGGTGTAGGGATAAACCCAGAACTAATAGAAAATACTGTGTATTTTTCAGTGTAAGGTTTTGAATCTCCATCAAGTGCTCCTCGCTTTCTCATAATGCTAAAATGTTCAACTTGTTTCTGTTTTTGTTTCCACAGAGAATCCTTGCCAAGAGCAAGGTGACATCATTCAGATTAAGCTTAGTGAGCATACAGAAGATTTACCAAAGGCAGATGGCACTGGCAGCACCACTATGTTGGTTGATACAGTCTTTGAAATGAACTATGCTACTGGTGAATGGACCAGATTCAAGAAGTACAAACCTATTACTAATGTTTCTTAAGAGTTGCAGCGACAGCAGACTGGACCAAATCAAGCTTAGAGTCAACCAGCTCATAGAGTATGTCAACTGTACAAAATGGCATTTGTGTACATTTATTACCCTCCAGCATAGAAGCTGTGGCTCTTCAACCTAACTGGGCTCAGTGAATGCAGAAGAAGATGGTGTTGAATTTACTTTTTTCCTTTTTTTATTATCTGGAAAAGGTGATTTGAGGGAGGAAGTGGTTGGTGGCTTTTTATTCTGTTCTTTTTTTTTTTTTTTTAATGCAATTTAAGATGCTGGAAGAGGAGAGGAGATCACAACAGAAAGATTAAAGATGGGAGCAGTTTACTTCTGAGTACCTGAAGAGAAGACTACTGCACAGTCATTCACAGTTTACCATTTAAACAAGGGCACAGATCTTTATTTTTTAAAGAAACTATTTTCTTTGACTACATGGGTTCCATGAGCACATGGAAGCACACATGGGTGCTTTATTTTGTAATTCAGGTGCAGTACACCTAAATACTGCAGGTGATAGATACCTAGTGTCTAATGGTACCCACTGTATGTTCAGCTCATTTATTCTTGAGGCATAGGATGGGATTGAGTATCTTTAATTTGCTACATTGTCTATGTCCATACACAGCATGAGTTAACCTATGTTTGGCATTACTTGAGATCAAGAAAAACTGAATATCATAGTTTTCTGATGTGGGAAAAAATAGCAAAACCAGGGAAAAATTGAAAGGAAGCAGTGGGCTGCTGCTGTGTGGAAATCATAGTTCTTTGCCATGTCATTTTTAGGGTAAAAGCTTATCAATGGCTATTGCATGCCAAGTCCTTCAAACAGCCTGGGAGGAAACAAGGCTAGAACATATCAATACTGATTGCAGCATTTTTGTTTTTTAAATGGCCCTGGAGATGGTTGCATCAACCAATCTCTGAATAAGATGATTAGGAGGTGGTGGTAAAGTATGGTTGGTTGGGCAGTCATAAGGTGCTTGATTACCTTATCCAAAAAGTTCAGAATGAGTATAGCTGTGGTTCCTACCTGTGTAGTTATCAGTATAATCATTAATGTGGCTGCAGTTATTCTGGCATATAAATGTGCCTTAGGTGTATCCCCTTCTAGTAGAAGCACATTTTGATCTTTGTAACACCATTAGTTTCAGCTGTCCTTAATTGTTCAAGTATAGCTTGCATTTATTGCGAGGGATTGTGTACATAGTTCAGGATTCATTGTTTGGAGCCTTGTTTGCATTCTTCGGGGGAGACTTGGTTTAAATGTCTGGTTTCTGCCAGTGCTTGTGTGTAGAGCTGTGCTTAGTTGGGAATGGTGCTTGGAAGGAAGAAGTACAACACAGCGCAGTGGGTTTTCTGCTGCTGAGAGGGTACCTTAGGCTGACTGGAGGTTCATGTTAAAGTGGGACTCGTAGGACAAAATGAGGCTTTTCTCTTTTTTTTTTTTTTTTTTTTAAAAAAAAAAAAAGAAAGCAGACCAAATCCCTTCAGTACACGTAACATAATAAGATGTTTAGGTGATTGTTTAGAATATTTTGTATTGGACAATTTTTATTGCGTTTTTATTTTTAGTTTCTCAAAATAATTATCCAACTGAAGAGGGAAAGTGTAAGTGAGAAGAGAATCTATATTTACAGCATTTTAAAATGTGACCAAAGTTATAGATTCCTTCATTTTATTTGAGCAAATAGACAGTGTTCTAGCTCCTGTAGTGGGCAGGTCATTTAATGGCATCTGCTTACGTTACGGAGTGTTGTGCATGTTCTAGTGTGAACGTTAGGCTCCTCATTTCACCATCACGCTGGGGGCTCTCCTCCACCTCTTATTAGCCCGTTTCAGAAGCAGTGCAGATTGTGATTCTGATAGTGTTTTTTCCTGTAAGCAGCTAGAGACAGGCCTGACAAGTGAGGATTAGTAGTGGGCTCTAGTTTTTAGAATGAGTTCAGTAAAAATGCATTTTCATGGCTGTAACTTATTTGATTATATCTTGCACAGTAAGGGCTAATAGTAGAATATGAAGGTATTCATCTTTTAAAGTAAAGGTTTAAAAGAAAGTAACATTCCTTTTCTTGTCTGCATTCAGATTTTTAAAGGTTTTTTTTTTTTTTTTTGATGACCATTTTTCTTTAAACATGTATAATAATTGTCTTAAATGTTCCTACTTGCTAAACTGCAAGTACCAAATACAATTTTAGAATAAATGTTTTAGAAAATTGGCTGACTTGAGGGGTGTGCACTGTTACTGTAAACTGCTCATTTGAGACCCTTTGCAGTTCGGTAGTGAGAAGCAGCTGCTGTGTGATGACTGAGCTTTCTTGAGATCAGTGGAGGTGCTTCACTAACCCTGTAGTCTGCACAAGTCTGTATTTCAACCTGTCGTGCTGGGATGGAAGCAGCCGTCCCTTCAAGAAGTCACTGTAGAATAAATTTGAGTCATCTGAACGCAGATGGTGTTGGAAGCCTACCGTGCTGCTACCAGGTCTTATTTGCTGTGTAACAAAGTTGATCTGCAGGCCTGCTTGAAGTCATGCCCAATATATTGAAATTTTAAGCAGAAGCATAGTATATTTTTAATTGTTAGGTTATTGGGATGAGACGGCGCTGCAAAATAATTTATTTTTAAAAGCGACTTTATGACACTCAACACTATAGCATTACTGCAAGTTGATTTGTGAATCTTGAAAGGGTTCTTAAATGCCTAAAGAAAGGGAAGATTTTGCAATGTTATGGTAAGAAGTGAAACTACATGGAGCTCTTTGATCTGGAGAAAATGTAGTGTGCCAGGCAATTCAGACAGGGCAACGCCAGCATCTGAATTCCAGTGTAATGGAATTGCTGCAGACAGAACACTCTGGCCTTGGAACTTGATATTTTTTTAATCTTCAATATTCAGTCACTTGGCTGTGAGCTGGATTCTATACAGTGATGCTCAGCGTGTGCTGCAAAACTAAACAAAAACTCTTGCTGACTGCAGAATGATGTGCGGTGTACTAACCGAATGGCTGCAGGAGTAGTTGTGGGTTTTCTTACTTCTGTGTTCTTTCCCTTTGCCCAAGCATGAAGCTTTAGGAAACAGCAAGCCCAAACTTCCTAAGCGTGTTACTGGACCTCAGCAAGGCAGGATGTCCCATTTTCTTGTCTTTGCTTGTAAACAAGCACCTGTGAGCATGTCAGGGCACAAAATGAACACAATGTGGCTTGTAGCAATGAAAGTGGCTTTTTTTTAACCTGTCCTGTCCAAGTGTGTTAGGTGGGGGATGGAAAGAACACATACACACACATACAGGCTTCTTAAGAACTTGCCCTACAAAGTCCTAGGTTTCTTCAGGCTCCATTTTCTTCAAGAGTGAGGACTTGAAAGTGAAATGAGTTTAATGAAGGTGAGCCCAAGGAGGATGTTGAGCAAGAGTACCGATTACAGATTCCTTCCTCCTCCTTTTTCCTGCTCTAGTGCTCTGTAGTTCTCTCCGTACAATGCTATTGAGACTTTGTGTGGTTAACACTCTTGTGTTGGGCCAGTGTTCTGTGGGTTAACTTCATTTTCCACTGGTAGCTTTGCTGGTTAATCTTTCAGTTAAATGCCATAGGATACTGGATGCGATGAGGGGGAACTTTTGGTGGTTGCTCAATACCTCTGTGTGAAATTGGTAATATCACTAAATGATGTCTAAGTGCAAACTGTTGTCTAGATAGAAGCTTGAAACTTTGACATCATACAGTTTAAGAGTGAATCACATTCTCATAGTGTAATCTGACTGGAAAAGACTAAAAAATGTTAAGCCAGAGCCCTCTGGGAATCTGGTGCCTTTAACAAGAAATGTCATTTTGTGAAATGTTACATCTATTGCATAGTCTGTATGTTTTCTATTGTTTTGGGTTTTTTTTGTACAGTTGTAAATTCAAAATATTCTGTCTTTGGGTACGTATTTTCAGTGTAATACAGTATGTATAATAAAAATTTAGATTTTCTATGGAAGCAAACCATTTTTTTAATACTTACATTATGCACATCCATTCTAAATGTATCCCATGGAAATGTCAGCTTTGCAGTACATCTCCAGAAGCGAAGCAATGCTGACATGCAGTAGTTTTGCTGGTTAGGATAGTTGTGAGGAGGAGGTGTTAGCAGAATACCTGCCTCTGCTTTCTGGGCTGATTCGACGAAAGCTGGTTACCCCTGGGTGGTAAGGCTCCGCACTGTGTGGGTGTGCATGTTGTTCAGTGCTCAAGCCACAGCCTGGGCCTGGTGGATGGAGGAAGGTGCGCGGCGCATGGCTGGCCCATTGGCATCAAGTGTGGAATAAGCCCTGCTTGCTGTCTGCCTCCTGTGGCTGAGCTACAACAGCGGCTGTTTCTCTCAGTCCTGGAGTGCTGTGGAAGACTTCCGTGGCTTCGTTTTGTCTTTATGCTCACAGACTGCAGTCTGGTTTATTCTGTGATAAATGTGAAGACTGACTTCTCGATGCTGAGCGACACAGACCTGTGGCTGGCCTCATCCCAGCTTTCTTATGTTGGAGCCTTGTGACACGGCTCTGTTACGCTTGCCTGCACTTGTGTGGTGCCAGGCATAATCTGAGGTTTTTTTTCCTGTCGGATCGACCTTATCAAATAGCCGGCAAGCAAATTCTGTTCCAGGTCAACTGCTCTGTTAAAACACTTGTGACAAAGCTTTGAGAGTAGATTGGGATGCACATTTCACTTATGTCATAGAGCATTTGTTCTGTGAAAGGTTCTTGGCGTCCATGTGAGTGACTCACTAATACATTTTACATGAATAAGGATGTGCCAGGCTGCCTTGTCTTCCTGAGAACGGCCTATTCAGAATTGGACTCATCTATTTTTAGTGATCTCTGTCACTAGACATTTTGGACAGCATAGCTGGCTCAGGCAAACAGAGCTTTTATTACATGCTTAGGATTCTGTTCTAATACCAGGTTTCACGGCTGACCAAACACTGACCTTTCGAAGACCTGCACTGCCTCAGCAGATACTGTCCTAAAGCTGATACCTTTAGATAGAACCCAGAATTCATTTTTCTTCAAGCTCTCTTGCTCTCAGGTGTGCATGAACGTGTTCTCCTGACAGCAGGAAAGGAAAAATAAGGCATGAAACAAAACTGGTGAGTGAGCAGAAGAGATGATGTCATTTTTGAAACCTGCTGTGTTTCAAGATGGTTCCAGACCAGAGAAGGTTCTCCCAGCTGGTTCTGGAGCGTGGTTTTTAAATAGTACTTGCTATTAAAATATGCTTACTGCTTCCTGATACAGTACAAGTAGGTATTTCATGAAGGAGGCAGGTTGTGGGAATCGCCCTGGAAGTTACTGCTGGAGAATCTGACTTTCTTTTGGCCATTTTTACTGTTGTTTAATTCCCTTGAAATCCAAGCGATAATGCCTCACGCTCTTCTTTTTTGAAGCGTTTGCTTCAGAATAAGAAGGTATTATTTCTATTACTTCAGCTTCCCTGCTGGGGGTTTTGCCCTTCCATTTACACAACACTTATTATGAAGGTTCTTGCTGGTGCCGTTGTAAAACATCACTCTTACTTTGGTGAAGGTAATTTTAGTATCGGCTCTGAAGGGTATTGGTGTGTCTTTTCGCTTTTCAAAGCTGTGGTGCCATCGTGTGGCCATTTGTACTGGTACAGCTATTAGCCTGCTCGGAGCACAGCAATGGTGTTCTTGCCTTTGGGAGTGCTGGCAGCTCTGCCTTGCTTTTCTCCGTTCTACCTGCCTGCAGTTGTCTTGGCCCTCCTCTGGGCACCTGAAGGGGGGTTCTGAATTCCCGTATGTCTGAGAGCAGTGTCCCAACACTCCTTGAGCTCCAGCAGCTCAGGGCTGCACCCACTGCCCTGGGCAGCCATTCCGTGCCCACCGCCCTTGGTGCAGACCTTTTCCCTAATCCTGAGCTGCCCCTCCCCTGACACAGCTCCATGCCATTCCCTCGGGCCCTGTTGTTGTCACACAGAGCAGAGCTCAGCAATGCTCCCCAGCTCCCTGTGAGGAGCTGCAGCTGCCATGAGGCCTCCCCTCAGCTGCTCTACTCTGGGCTGAGTGAACCATTGACAGAAACCGATGCAGCTTGGAGGGTGGCAGCTGAGGGTGCTCATATGTGGCTCAGGTCCATCAACTGGGAAGGGCTTGAGAAGGGCTGTGATGCTGGCAGGGTGCTGTGTGTAATGCATATCTCCCTCTCTGCCATTCTGAAGACCTCCAGCTGGAGTTCAGCGCTTTCAGAACAGGCTGAGCTCAACAGAGCTGCAATTTGGCTTGTGGTGGCGCTTGTCTGCATACCCATTGCAGGAAGAATGCAGAGCAGCTGGAGCAGGTCTAGAGGAGTGCCGTGAAAGGTGCTTAGAGGGCTGGAGCACCCTTCCTAGGGGGAGAGGTTGAGGGAGCTGGGCTTGTTTGCATGGAGAAGGCTGCAGGGAGATCTCACTGAGGCCTTCCAGTACCCAAAGGGAGCTTACAGGCAGGAGGGGGACTGACTTTTTACACTGACTGATAGTGATAGGACAAAGGGGAATGGTTTTAACCTAAAGAGGGGAGATTGAGGTTAAATGTTAGCAAGAAATTCTTCACTCAGAGGGTGGTGAGGCCTGGGAAGCCTGATCTGGTGAGGGGCACCCAGTCCACAGCAGAGTGGTGAGCTGTGAGGTCCCTTATAGCCCAAACCACGCGATGATTGCCTCAGTTAAAATGGGAACTGCTTTGAGCTGCAGTTCTTCCTGAGTAGTTCTTGCTGCAGGAAGCCCTGGGTATCTAGAAGTGCAATCCTTCCCCCTGAGGAGATCACGGGGCCTGGCCTGCAGCCCGGCCCAGTTCTGCCTGTTCCTCTTTCCTCAGCGCCTTGCTCCTCTTGCATGAGTTTTTGCATGGGAAGCGAGCAAGGTTTGCTCTTTTGCTCCGGGCTTAGCTTGCACTGCACCTCGAGGAGGCCTCATTGAGACCTGCTGCACCCTCTGTGCACAAACACCCCCTCTTTTGGGGGGAGGCTGATCCGGCCCAGCCGCATGATCGCAGTCAGGTGACGACGTTGAGCGCAGAAGCGGTGTGGGATAAGCAGCTCAGTGAGGGAGATCAGCTGCTGCCCCGGCCCTCTGCGAGCTGTTAGTGCTCAGGGAAAATGAGCGTCTGGCCCCCTCCTCTGCTCTGGAGCTTGACCACGGCGTGTCTGACAGGTGAGCCCTTCCAGTGCCGCTTTGCTTTGTGGGGCTGAGTGCGGGGCGTGGGGACACGGTGTGTGCTGGTGAAACCGCTGGCCTCAGAGTGTGGGGTGGGCAGGGGGGAGTGCTGGGAGCAGTGCCTTAAAGGGGTGCAGTGCTGGAAGTGGGACGAGCAGCCTAGCAGTCACGGAATCACAGAGCTCTTTGAGTTGGACAGTTAAAGGCCAGCTAGTCTAAGCGCCTATGATGAACAGGGACACCTACAGCTCCACCAGGTGCTTTGTAAAGAAAAGGGAGTAAGTTCAGTCACTGCAAACTGAATGCTGTGGCCTTATCTGAAACCCAAAGGAAGAAACATTCCCTTTCTTGGGGGTGTTCTGGTAACCGGGTGATCCTAGGAGCACGTGTAAAAGTGCCTGAATATTTCTGTACTCATGTCCCTGCTCCTGCAGACCTGAGGCACTCAGTGGGTCGGGGACTTGCAGGGCCCATGGTCACCAGCTGGAACAGAGCTCCTCAGTTCCTTTCCCCCTGCCCACCAGGCAGCACTGTGCCGGGCGGTGCTGGAGTGCTGGCACAGGGGCCGGAGATGCTGTGGGATCTACTTGGGGATTTCAGTAGCTGCCTGGTCGTGGGCCTGGGCACCCTGCTGCTGGTGGCCCTACTGGGGTAGGGCAGGGCCAGAGGGACCCTGAGGTCCCCATGCTGTGAAAACTTCTCAGAACAATTCTTAGGCCATAACCTCTCATCTCAAAATGCCCAGGAGGTGGTGGAGTTGCCATCCCTGGAGGCATTCAAGAAACTCAGAGATTGGCACTGAGGGACGTGGTTAGTGGGGATGGGCTGATGGTTGGACCAGATGGTCTTAAAGGTCTTTTCCAACCTTTATGATTCACTTACCTGGGAGCCTTGGTGTACCTGTGTGTCTGGTACAAATCCAGCCAAATCATGTGATGAGGTACAACCTGTAGACTGGAACTTTCATGGAGCTTGGGGAAATTCAGAAGCAGCTTATTCACATGTGGAATTCACCAAAGATCTTCTTTACACAGACAATTATTGACTTGGTTATATTTTATTTTTCTTGAAGTATTGGTTGCTTCAAGAACTGATAGCAGACTGATGTGGGGGAAGAGAAGCAAAGGAGCTGCCATCCTACTCAGGCCTTTTTTCAGTTCTCAGCCACTGCTATATGCTTCAGAGGTCAGCAGGGCTGCATGTCCTGTACGTTACAAAGGTTCAGGTCTGTCATCAAAGGTTCAGTAAGCTGCTTACCATGACATCCTCATGTCTGACTCACTGTAAAGTAGACTGAGTTAAGGCTGCTGAGTTGGACAAGGGGAACAGTGCATTATGGTGCTGGGTCAAAGCATGGCCGAGGCAATGTGGCCAGGAGCCGTGCTTTCTGTGTAGGACGAGTGCTGATGACTCCTGGTCTCTAAGATATTTACCTTGGGCAAGCAAATGTGAAACAAAACCCTCACTGTTAAATTCAGCGTTTCTCTTTTTGGAGAAAACAGCAAGATGTGGCAATGGCCCAGACGGCTGGGTGCTCATCTGCTGCCTGTCCCAGGAGTTACAGAAAGACTCAGTTTTCTACACTCTTGAGTACAAAGCGGTCAGTATACGCATAGGAGGGAGCCCTCTGAGCAGTCTGTTTCCATGTGATCACAGATTTCTAAGGACTCTTTCATTCACTGTCCTGATCTTGCTATAGAAATGCAACTGGTGTTACCAGCCAACGTCGTTGGCATGTTGTTGCCTATGCTGGGGTGGTGCTGAGCCCTGACACCAGAGATGTCCAGCATTGTGTGGGTGCGTGTAGCTCGAAGAGTGAGAAATCAAAGGCCCAGGGAGAAGAAATCAAAGGAGGTGGCTTTGGGAAGATCTTTGCAGTGACCCATGCATCCCCAGCCACCCAGTGCCTGTCTGACAGTCTCTGAGCACCACATCATCATCCTGCTCCCATTGTTCCTCATCTGAACATCACTGTTGGGTGTCAGCTGTGCTCTTCTATCTCCATTACCCTCCTAAAGCAGCCCTTTGAAATAGTCCTTTGGTTTCCCTGCAGCAGCTGCTGGATTCTGGCAAGCTCAGAGGCTTGCACTGGCTGGAAGAGTGGGAACACGGAGTTATTGGGAGAATGGTGTTTGTGGGGCCCAAGTCAATCCTGAAGTAACACTGATTTAACAGTTCTCATATGATGAGCTCCAGAAGGAGTTTGATTTCCTGCTAACTTTGATGCTTTATTGCATCAAGTAATGCTTGATACTATTGGCAATTCAGAAAATCTTTTACTTTCAGAACTACTAGGTGTTTTTTTTTCCAGCTGTCCCCAGGAGAGGGGGCTGGACATGGTCTGCGAACCTCTGACTTCAGTAACAGGTGTTGTCCAAAAGAATGGAAGAGATGTGCGCCCTGAATTGCTTACAGGTGTTAGTAGCTCACCATAATAAGGCACGTGAGAGGAAAAAGGCACTTAGCAGCCATAGCAGCCCGTTGATGCCGTATGAAGCTGGGTGTTTTCAGAAGCTGAGGTTATTCTGTGGAGGAAATCCCTGCCCTGAATTCCTGATCCAAAGTGGTGTGCCTGCTGTGGTGGCAGGAGCGGGCTGGGTTTGGTTTGCTTTGTTTGCTTGGGTTTCACCTAGCAATGCAATATGAACTTGCTACTTGTTGCATTTAGTTTTACAGGCTTTTCCTCCATCCTGAGACTGAGAAACATCCATTCCCTGTGGTCATGTACTTCTGAGATTATTTTCATCAGTAGACGCCATTTCAGTCTATTACATTGCACAGCAAAACACCCTGTGCTGCAGTAACACCCCGCAGTTCTCTGAAGATTACAGCTCCCTGGCTGTGAAGAACTCCTGCTCTAACAGGGGAGGGATTTGGGAATCAAAGCTAGTCTGCCCACAGGCAGCTTCCCTTTGGGTTACTGGATACATCCAGAGCAGCTTAAATAAAAATCCCAAACCCATGACTTTTCTCCCTTGATCCCTTTAACCAAGAAGGGATGAAACAGGCAGCTACTTGACAAGCATCTTAAATCAGATTGAGGGATCTCAGGGTAAGCTGAGCACAACCAGCAAAACCAAGTGTTTTAAGCAATTCTCACAACCCTTTATCTTGGAGAGTCAGACCTCTCAGCTCTGGGATCAGCTTAATTTTTTTTTCCAGCCTAAATGATTTTATTATTCTAATGCATGTGCTTGACAGGGCTCTTGTGTGCAGGTGATGCTGCACGTGAGACACTGACTCTCACAGTGTTCTCCTGGGGAAGGTGGCAGCCCATGGCTTGGGCAGGCATGCTCTTTGATGGGTAAAAGACTGGCTGGATGGCCGGGCCCAGGGAGTGGTGCTGAATGGAGTTAAATCCAACAGGGAACTGATCACGTTGGTGCTCCCCAGAAGTTGGTACTGGGGCCTGTCCAGTTCAGTATTGTTATCAATGACTGGTTGAGGGTTGAGTGCACCCTCAGTAAGTTAGCAGGTGATATCAAGTTGGGAGAAAATGCTGATCTGCCTGGGGTAGGAAGGCCCTTTGGAGAGAAATAGACAGAGTGGATCACTGGGCTGAGGCCAAAGCTCGAAGTTTGACAAGACCAAGTGCCAGGTCCTGCATTTTGGCCACAACAACCCCAGGCAACGCTACATGCTTGAGGCAGGGTGGCTGGAAGACTGTGTGGATGGAAAAGACCTGAGGGTGTTCATTGACGATCAGTTGAACATGAGCCAGCACTGTGCCCAGGTGGCCAAGAAAGCCAGTGGCATCCTGGCTCGTATCAGAAATAGTGTTGCCAGCAGAAGCAGGAGGAGATCACACCCTGTACTCAGTTCTGATGAGGCTGCACTTCAAGTTCTGTGTTCAGTTTTGGGCCCCTCACTGCAAGAAAAACAGTGAAGGCCTGGAGTGTGTTCAGAGAAGGGCAATGAAGCTGTGAGGGGTCTGGAGCACAGGCCTTATGAAGAGCAGCTGAGAGTACTGGGATTTTTTAACCTGGAGAAGGCTCAGGGTGACCTCATCACTCTCTACAACTACCTGGAAGGAGATTGTGGCAAGGTGAGGGTTGGCTTCTTCTCCGTTGGCATAACTAGTAATAGGACTGGAGGGAATGGCCTCAAGCTGTGCTAAGGAAGATTCAGGTTGGACATTAGGAAAAAATTATTCTAAAGAACAGTCAGGCACTGGAACAGGCTGTAGGTGGTGGAGTCACCATCCTTGGAGGTGTCCACGAAATGTTTAGGTGTGGTACTGAGGGACATGGTTTAGTGGGGAAATATTGGCAATAGGTGGACAGTTGGATTGGATGATCTTGAAGGTCTTTTCAATCTTGGTGATTCTATGATTCTGTGATGCTCAGATGCTGCCAGTGTTTCTGCATCGCTCTGTAGTGGAACGTAGCAAAGACAATTTCTGGACACCAAATGAGGACACAAAGGTTAAGACCTAATGATAAGCCTTCACTAAGGGAAGAACAGTAACTTGACCATTACATTTTTTTTCTTTCTCTTAGGTATTGCTTTAGGCCAGACAACCACCACCCAGGCCCCTGTTGCATCAACCTCGCTACTTCTGAGTGCAGCTACCACCCAAGTCCCTGTTCCACCAACTCCAATGTCTTCTATTGCCACAGCGACCTCGGCCCCCACATCCCCATCTGCAGCTGGAACAGTGACAAACCTCACCACCCCTACAGCTATGCCATCTGCTATCTCAAGCACAAACCCTCCCACTCCAGCTCTGCCCACCACCCCACGCATCACCGTGCTCACCTCTGGGATTGCTACCACCCCTCATGCACCCACAGCACTAATGGCCACATCCAGCAGTGCCTGGGCCACCCCTCCAGATGCAACTGCATCTCCTGGTGTCCTATCAGTGGTCCCGCCCCTCAGCACCACTGAGCCTTCAAACTGCAGCAGAGTGAATGTGACAGCATGTACTCCTTGCTCCCCAGGGACCATTCCCAGCAGTGGTAAGAGCCAGGGCTCACCCAAGCTTTCCTATGCTAGGTGGCAAAGGGAGTGACCAAGGGAGGAAGACCAGCTTGTGGTGGATGCTCTAGGGTAACTCTGCAGAGCACAGGAGGTAATTTTCACCACGCTGTGTACAGGATGTGCCCTAGCGAGACCTCCTCTTGCTCATGCTTTGCTCCTGCAGTGCCAAGGGCTGGTTTCTGCATGGAGAGGGGGCGTGGATCTGCTGTGAACCACCACTGCAAGTCTCACAGAATTGTTCTGTGCAGCTCAGATTTGTTTTGTGGAGCACAGACTGCCAGAGCTCACATCTGGTGGGAATACTGCACTGCCTATGTGCAAAGGAAGGCTGTTTCTGCTTAAGGCAGATTCTCTGCTTTGGGGTTTTCTGCTTCCCACAGATGTAAATTTATCAGAAATCAAAGGAGTGCATTTATTTTAACTTTTGTGTGGTGGTGGGGAAGAAGGAAAACCCTCCTCTCTCCTCGAATTGGAAGAGAAAGAGCAGTCTTGGTAACTACCAGAAGTCTGTGTTGATAGAATTGGGATCACAAATTGCCTTACAGCTGTTCTCCCATCTAATGGCACACAGCAGCATCACTAGCATTAATGTTATTTTCTACCCCCCAAAAACTGTCTTGCTGGGGGAGCTGGATCCAAACACCTGTGCCCATTGCAATGATCTGTAGACAAACCAAGGGGGTGGATGAGGGGTTGAAGTTAAGCCTCACGGTGCTGATCCTGCTCTCTCTGTCTCTATTCAGACACCTGGAGCTGCTCGTGCTGCACAGAGGGCTCATGCTTGGACCCTGGTGCCTGTGCTCCTTGCCCGGTGGGGCACTACCAGCCTGCGAGGGGACAGCAGCAGTGCCTGCCGTGTTCAAAGGGACGTTACACCAAGTAGGTGACAGCCTCTGCTGGGTCTGGACGTGGTTGTGTTCTCTCTCACAATGCTTCCCCATTTTGGCAGCTGTTGGAGCCTCCAGGTGCCTCAAATCCCTGAGGTGTCAGCCTGTCCCTGCACCAGGAGGGGCGCCAGCCTTGGTCTAACCCAAATTGTGGCCTTGGTGCCTTGGGGCATGGGTGGCCTGCAGGCCAGGCTTCAGTGCCACACCTTTGAAAAGATCATGAAATCACAGAATAGCTGAGGTTGGTGGGAGCCTCAAAGCCCACCCACTTGCAACCCCGTGCCATGGGCTGGTTGCCCCCCACCAGATCAGGCTGCCCAGGGCCCCATCAAACCCAGCCATGACCAAATCAGGATCTATCCCAAGGCACTGCAGAAATGCTTCTGCTGGGACAATGGAGAGTGTGACATGGAGCTGGGGGCAGCTGGAAGGAGGAGAGAGGCAACAGAGAGGAGCCATGGCAGCTGCCCAGGGCTCCATCAGCAGTGCTTCACATTTCTGTGATATTTGGAAAACCCAGAGTCCCTTGGCTGCGAGCAGCTCTGTGGCTGATGCAATCTTGTGTTGGTTTGTTTTAAGCTAAGTGTTTGCTTCTATTCCCGTTGTCTTCTTAATTTTTTCCCTCCACAAATCTTGCTCAGCCCTGGGGTTTCCAAAGGAATAAAGAACATGTCTTTGTTTTCCTCTAACGGCTGGCTGCTAACAGATTTTTAAACCCATATGCTTGTGGTTGGGGATTTGGCTCTATTGGTGATGAATGAACCAGATTTCCTCCTCCACTGCCTTCCTTGATGTCCTCCCTCTCCTCCCAGAGGCCTGACATGGCACATCCCTATTCCCACAGTCCCTGCTATTTCGGGTCAGGACTCCCTCACAGCAGTGCCTGTGGCTCAGTTCCCTTTCCATAGAACCACGGAACTGTAGAGGTCAGATGGGAACTCTGGAGATCATCAAGCCCAACCCTCTGCTAAATCAGGTTCCCTACACTAGAATGAGCAGGAAAGTGTCCAGGAGGATCTTGAATGTCTCCAGAGAAGGAGATTCCACAATCCCTCTGGGCAGCCTGCTCCCTATTTCCAGACTTGCTAGTGAAACAGAGCTGTGCTCCACTGTCCTGAGCACAGAGAAGCCTCGGTAAGATAAAACCATGCTAACCTCTGCTTGATTCCCCCAGCACTACCAGCAGCACCGTGTGCTCACCCTGCCCACCTGGCCACTATGCCAACGAGTCGGGGGCCACAGCCTGCAGCGCGTGCCAGAAAGGTAGGGCTGTTTGTATGCAACCCTGTGCACTCCCATCACACACTGCACAGGCTTTTACCCACGGCCAGATGCAATCACTGGGTTACTTACAAGCACCGATGAGTAAACAGGTTATTTTGTACAGGCCAAAAATAGGACAGCATATCTCTTCCCACAGTTATGGGTGTTCTTACTAAAAATGAAAGAACAGGTCTCACATGCAGTCACGCTCCTGTTTGCAGCAAGCTAATACCATCGGCAATACTAAATAGCACATGCAATGCAACAGCTACTCTGGATGCCAATTAAGAGCTTTTTACACATGCACAAGTCGTCCTTTGAAAATCTGTGCACAAAGCTGCTCGTCTCACACCCAAATCTTGGCTATCATTTGCTACGTTTGGGAGGAAAAACGTAAATAAGCAGCAGTTGGAGGCTGTCATGGGTGACAGTGTGTGGCACCTCACTGCCTTAACTCAGTGGATTTTTACATTAGGCCACAGAGAAGGCTATGAGCACAGCCTCTAGATCATGCGATTATGAAAGCTAATAAGCTGCTTTTCTCTTGCAAGGTGAGGGAGGGGGTTTTGCTTCCCTCCTGCTCAGCTGTAGCTCATGGCACGTGTTTTTATGCCTCCTGCCCACACTGCGGGGGGTGTGAGCCCATTTGTTTGCCTGCAGAACGGGAACAACTAACAGCATGGGGACAGGGATGGCAAAGGAAAGATCTTGAGAACCTTCTCCTTTTTCCTCCAGGTTATTTTAGCTCACAGCAAAATGCAGCTTTTTGTCTGCCTTGCCTGCCTGGATCGTTCTGCAAGTAAGAAATCCTCATATGACCTTAGGTGGGGCTCCCCTAGAGCAGGCTGTGGTGGAAAGAAGTATCTGAGGCCAAGCAGCATGACAGTGCCACAAGGGATGACAAGAGCAGGAAGGAAAACCTGACTGCTAGCTGTAAAACTCTATATAGCTGTAAAACTAATGGCCCCACATTAGCTGAGCCTGTGTTAAAGAAGATACAGACACAGAAGGAGGTAGTGACAAGTCTCCAGTCAACAAAACCAAGGTTGGACATTCAGCTTCCTTTACTAGTCACCTGGCCAAGCAATCTGGTAGCAGCCACTGAGCACCAGCAGTTGCCAGAGGGCTCTGCAGGCTTTAGAGTTGGTGGTGCTGAGATTTGGATGAGATTCTACAAAAGGAGGAGGATTCTGCCAGCAGTGCTGCAGCAAAGTGAAGGACAACTGCTGGCTTGTGTGCTTTGGGGTCAGTCCTATCCCAGCCCCCACCTCAGCTAGGCTGGGGGCTGGTGGAGAAGGAGGCACTTTTACTCAGCTGTCCCATGGTGGAGGAAGAGGGCACCTGGGAGAGGTGAACTTTGCAGCCAAAGTTCAGTTTAATTGCTATCGAAGCAGTTCTGTGGCTTTCACAGCCGTATGGCTGTTGCTCTTCTCAGCATCTACTGAGCAGTTCCAGTCAAGTGTGCTGGGGAACGGCCCCGGCTGGGGGATCGGGTTCCTAAGTTTCATGCAAATAAGAGACCAAGGAAAGAAATGCCATCACATTCCCAACCCTAATTAGACATATGGGAGAAACTGCACTGCAGATAGACACCACAAATGCCTACAACATGGTAAAAGATGGTAGACGGAGCATTCAGCCTTAGGCTGTGTGTGCATAAAGAAGCAGCCGGCGGGTTGTGTAGGGTTGGGCTGTCTCAGTGCTGGGCTCATGGTGCTGTCTCACTGTTCTCCTTCCCAGCACCACCAGCTGCACGCTGTGTCTGGCCTGTCCTGCTGGGCACGAGGCTCCACATGAGGCTGCTGAGGGCTGTATGCTGTGCCGGGCAGGTGGGTCGTGACAGGTCGTGATCGTGGGCACTGAGCAACTCAATGCATTGCATGGTTTAGAGTGATGATAGTGTGTGACCTCAGCACCAGAACGGAGGGATTTCTTCCCAAAATTTGGTCCTTTTAACCTAGACGATGTTGTTCCCTACCACCTCGAGTGGCCCAGCTGACAGCAGCTGAGCAAACCATTGCTGCCTAAGCAATGGAAAAGTGCTGGTGGCTGTCCCAGTGTGGCAGGACATGTTGTGCCAAGCCCTCCTCCAGTATGATTATTGCTGTGCTGTACTGCAGCAATGCAGCCAGATGTATTTCATGCAAACCAGCATTAATGTCTTAGAGACCGTGACTTCCTTGACCTGTCATTCTCACAAAGCTTAGTTACACTGCACTCAGCAAGCTCCAAACAGCTGGGAAAGGTGCTTGAACCTGGAATTAGAGGGGATGAAACTCTGCTGAGCTCTGGCTCCCAACTTCCCTCTGCTTTAAAGCTGCCAGCTCAGCACTAACCCAGCTCCCACCGTACTCCTGCTCTGTTTTCAGATTTGAAACAAGGTGTTGGTCAGGTTCCTTCCCTATACTTTTGTTCTTTCCTTCCTGCCCCTTTGCCACCCAGCTACTGCCAAAGTTCTGGCTCCGTTTTTGTCGTGCACATGCAGTATTTCATGCATTTTCTCCTTGTGGCTTTGAAAGCACACTCATCCATATGCAATTGCAAAGGCCCTGGGTCCAGTCCCAGATGCTAATGTGCTCTTTTGTTATTTAGGTACGTTCAAAGGTCTGGGTGATGATGCCTGCAAGCCCTGCGAGCCAGGGGAATACCAACCACAGCGGGGCCAGGAGAGCTGTGACCTGTGTCCAGAGAACCACTACTGCCCTGTGAGTCTGTTCTGGCTGCTTTGGCAGCTGGGATTAACAAGTACAGTTAATACACTTTTAATTAAGGCCAATTTTAGCTTAGCTGGTTTCCTTCTCTTAAATACAGACAGAGCCCTTGTAGAGCAGTGGGGTTGCAATTAGAGCACCAGGAGTCTGGCTTTGTTCCACCCTTCGCATCAGGGCATGGTTAGGGGATGAGGTATCCATTAATGAGGTACAGAAGTGTTTAAAACACAACAAGACCTGAATTCAATGACAGCAGGTTCATTTATTGGTCCTTGGATATTGTAGGTCTTCAGGTGGCTGGCTGCTAGTCCTACCTCTGCCTCAGTCTGTCATTTCTAATATCTATTCTGAGACAGCAAGGCAGTGGGTACTTTGTAAAGCGGGTTTCACAGCATGCCCAAACTCAGGAAGGTGTCATAGAATCGTTCGAGTTGGAAGGGACCCATAAAGGCCACCTCGTCCAACTCCTCTGCAGTGAACAGGAACACCTACAGCTCCATCAGGTGCTCGGAGCCCCGTCCAGCCTGACCTTGAGTGTCTCCAAGGATGGGGCTCCATCCCTTGTGTGGGTAACCTGTGCCAGTGCCTCACCGGAACATGCTACACACATGCTATATACGTAGTACTGAGGCAACACTTACCCTCCTGCCACCTCCTCTGTTGTTTGGCACTGAGGAATTTACCTTTCCTCTTGGTTAGAGCCCAGTTGTGAACCCGATCAAGTGCCCTCCTGATGCCTTCTGCCCCATGGGCAGCACCGCGCCCCAGTTCTGCATGGAGGTCTTCCTGTACAAGGTGGGCAGCTCCTGCCAGCTGACGCCACTGGTGATCGTCCTCCTGGCACTCTTCTCAGCAGGTGAGTGTTGCTCTTCTTTGTTTATGTCTCTGCACAGTGCACACTGTGTTGCCTTAAATTTGGATTTCTAGAAAGTCTTTTTGGTTGCTCATCCCTTTAAAAGGGAGCAGAAAGCTGGCATCCCTTACTTGTTTCTAGCACAAGGGGCTGCAGAGCCATAAGCTATCCTTATGCCTGTTCTTCCTTAAGGCTTCCCCATCCTGACGGCACAGTGACCTACAGTGTCATAATATGAAGACAGGAGTCAGGCTGCAATAATATGGTTAACAGGCTAAAAGTGGTTTAAATGCACAAATTGCCTTTTAAAACGTGCCTCCATCACACAGCTCATCATTTTTATGCACTACTTTCAATGCAAATGACAGTACTTTCACGTTTGCAGGTGGGGATATCAGTGAATATTAAATAGGGACATCATGCTAGTAAGATAATAGATATCTGGTTGTTGTTCGTCCTTGGGAAGCAGCTGTGTGTACAGGCTCCAAAAGTAGCATATCTTTGCCCGGAAGAAAGAAAATGGACAATTTCCCACCACGTATGAGACTTCAGCTTTCCTGAAAGCATTTCCCCTGCCCTCAGTTAATACTTTTGCAGCTCAAAATCAGACATTTTGTGCGGTGACAGGGAAGCTGGCACTGGGCATGGGAAATAGAGACACCTGCAACCTCTAGTAATTAGCTCATTAGTGGATATGGCAGGAAGCCAGCAGGTGGGTGAGTCTTCAGCAAGGAAGCAACACCAGGAGCACTAATCCCAAAACACCAAATTGGCATTCATAGTCCTACCAAAGGAAAAAGTAAGAATTCTGTAGTCTTAGGTCCGAGTTTGGGGGGAAGTTGGATCAGAGGTTATGCTACAAAGAGCAGCTCTCACTGTTAGGGATTGTAAAAAGAGCAGAAGAGCAAGCTGGAATAGCAGTGTTCAAGCTGAGAGCAATCATTGCACAGGCACATAAAAAGAAGTGCAGTGTTCAGTGCCACTTGTGCGAACAGGTCTGCTGACAGGAGGCTTTCATCTCCTGATATTCTAAGGCATGAAAGCCACATGCCCACGAGTTTCTGTTGTAAGCTCAACAGTTTTGTGCCCCCAAACGCTCATCCTCCAGTCCAGCTCACTGCTGTTAGAAGGAGAGGGGAGATCAATCAGATCTTAATCCTCGCAGCAAACAGGGAGCAAAGCTTCTCCAACAACAAAGCAGCATTAGTAGTTCTTATCAAAGTCCTGTCTTAGCACCTGAGGACCCCACAGACATAAATAAGGACTAAATGCACTGCTGTGCTGGGCAGGCGCTGGAGCGCTGCCACAGGGACCAGACAGGGCCCTGTCCCTGGGGATGTCTGGAGATGTAGTCCCAAACCAGGGATCATGCAGAAGCTCCTCCACTTCAGGTGCCCAGGTTCTGCTGTGTCAGGCCACAGTCCAAAAGATGCCAGCTAAAGCAAGTATTAATTAGAAAAAGTAGTTTTAAATGAAGCACATGAAGGGGTCATCCATGCAGAACAATGGCCAGTTAATCAGCGTTTCTGATAAACAAGTCTGAGCCACAGAACAATGTTCCTCAGTGAAGACCTGGGTGGCAACGTTTGCTAAGAAGAGGGGCAAAAGAAGCAGCCCACACAGGAGCCAGCCAGCATTTCATGGCTGGGTAACAGCTTAATTGTTTGCTGTGAGGTTGTCTGTTCATGCAATCCAAATTTGGATGCATTTGTCTGGACATATTGCATCACAGTGACAGATTCACGCTCTCCTGTTTAGATCAATTTTCCCTGATTATGCTTCTGCCAGAAACAGACAAACAGAAATGTCACAGTACTTGATATTTTGCAATTATTTCCATGTCTATGCACAGCCTAAAAGAAATTTTTTCTGACAGTCCTGATTCCAGTCTAGACTCAGAGTTGATCTAGGTCAGTTACTTCTTGAGCTTCATTATAAGCACCATACAGAGCAAAAGCATTTTTCAGCACAGCCTTTCAGCGTGGCGGGACAAGTGCAGTGAGTCTGCATGGATAAGATGCCAGGTGGGAAATGAGAGTTCGGTGGAACAGAGCGCAAGCAGGAGCAGAAGAGCAAGTGACTGAGTTACTTCGTTAAAACCCACTGCTGTTCTCCACATCTTTCAGGGTAAATCTGAAATGCCAAAGCTGAGTTGTTAGATAGCCAGTTGTTCTCTGTGCTCAAGCCAAAGGAGAAGAAAGCACTTTGTTTAGAATCGTAGAATTGAGTTGGAAGGGACCTTGAAAGGTCGTCTGGTCCAACTCCCCTGCAATGAAAGGGACACATACAGCTCCATCGGGTGCTGTCCAGCCTGACCTCAGGTGCCTCCAGGGATGTGGCACCCACCACTTCTGGACATCCTGTGCCAATGCCTCACCACCCTTATTGTAAAAAATCCCTTCTAGATCAACCAGGAGATAATACAGCAGTCAGAAAGCACTAGAACAAACACTTGATGCTTTACCTTCCTCGTTGAATGTTAGCTATCACTGTTTACATTCCTTACAGGTGCAATTCTTATAATCTTTGTACTAATTCTGAGGAGAAGGCAAGAATCTAGCACAAAGTCTTTGAAGTCCCTGTTGCTACCGCGAGGATCAGAGCGGCACACAACGTATGGAGTGATGGAGCACAGAGAGCCGGTGTATGCTGGCTGGTAGTGGGGGAAATGCTACCTGCAAGCACTGTGCTCCCTTTTCTGCATGGTAATGCACGTGTGTGCATATGTGAAAAATGTTTGACATCACCAACCCATTCCTGTATAGCTAAAATAACTACTGAGAAATGAAATGCAAATCATTTTTCAGCTGTGACTTTTTGTGCTAACCAACCTAGCTAGATGCTGTTCTACATGAAATGGACTGAACAGCAGAAGCTTCCCCTTTAATTCCTAGCTCCACTCACAATAAGTATTTTTTTTCCTTTCCTTAAGAAATGTCAGCAGTCAGCTAGAGCAAAGAGCAGCTGCTGCAGTACTGGGATTCCCACAACACAACTGTTTCTACCCGAGCAGGAACTAACACAAATATTCTTCCTTTAAGGAATATGCACATTTACTTATTTATTTGCCATTCTCAAATCTTTATCTATACTTGAAATTGAGGGTCAAATGAAAAAAAGGAATCCCAAACTTTCCCCTTCCTCTCAACTGTGGGAAAACATGTGCAGCTGAACTTATGGTTGATTCCTGGACAAATGTGTCCCTTCCGTTTCCTGCTGCGGTCTCTAACGCAGTGCTTCATATTACTCCACAGAGCTACAGAAGCAACACCTTCCTCCTGCTTCTCCAGTGAAATTCATTCACATACCAGGCTGGCTGCAAAGCCCTGCTCAGATCATCCAGCGGTGACACTTCCACAGCGCTGTGCCTCATCAGCTCTGAGAGCCCTGGTAAAAATAGTACTTACTATTATGAGAGCTGTGCTTTCAAGCGAGTGTGCATGGAGGTGGAAGCAGGTGTTACTTCTCATGGAGTCCTTTCCCTGAGCTAAAGCAGCAGCAGCCAGCTGAAGGAACCCAGCTGGTAGGGGTTAAGTGGCTGCTGCCCTCCACTGCTCATTCTTCTCATCCCCGGGGAGGTTATTGTGCTTTTCAAGAAAAAGGAAATAAACAACAGCTGAAAAAAGCAGTTCTGTGATCTGTTTCAGATCTGTTAGATGAGTAAATGGACAGGAAGAGAGGTGTGTTATCCTCTGTGGTAAGCAATAATGCAGCTGGTAACCCTGCCACCTGCATCAGCAGCAGCATCAACACACCAAGCTCAGTCCCATCCCAAGACCCTTTCTGCCCTCAAGTCTCCATTTTCCCACTGAAAGCTGGTTACCTCCCGTCCGCATGCTTTGTTCTTTTCTTCCCACCTTCTCCTCACTCCCAGCTACTTGCTTGAAATGCGCTGGCTCTCAGAATCCCCTGTTCTAAGAAGAAATGGGTTCTTTGCAGCAGTGACCACCTGGGGACAGGACCCTCTCCTTGTGGCTGCAGGAAATGATGCCCAACACCCTCTCCTGTTCTTCAGTCCTGAGAGCTGGGGGACAGAGTGTGCATGGCCCTTCTGCTGGGCTCTCTGATGCTGTCCATAGCACGCAGGCACTAAGTTTCTCAGTGCACAGTCAGGGCTTTCTGCAGGAGCAGCAAAAGGATCAAGTCCTGATAACAGCACCAGGTTATTTCAGAACACTAAGCCAACAGTGGCAAAGCATATTTCTGATTTGCTCTTAAAGAAGCACAGCTGCAGTCAGGCACAGAGATTCCACCCATGAAGGAAACTGGCGTTGACCTAAAACCTGGCTGGGAAAGAAAAATGTGGTTGAATTAAAACCTGACCAAACAGGAACAACAGCAGTGACAGCTGAATGGAGCTTGCAGGACTGCACGATTGCAGCTCAAAATACTTGAAGTCTGTGAAATTCTGAGTAACAGAAAACAGCACTGTAACAGGAGAAACTGACCGCAAAAAATGTCATTTTTTATGGTAAGCAACACTGTGAAAAAAAGCCAAAATACAATCATTATCATCTCTACGTGAGCCCTAAGTATTATTTCCAGCAAGTCTCTTAGGAAATCGCAGAGTGCAAGTTTTCACTATGAAAACATCCAGTTCTTTCACTTCCAAACCATGCTCAAACAGCGTGCGTTTGACTAAAAAATAAATTAAGAAAAAAATATAAAAATCTGCAAAAATAGCTATATAGATCTGTTAAAAAAAATAGCAACTTCTTAAGTAACTAGGAATAAATTTTAATATTTAATAAGACACGGAAGTTTCTCAAACAGACATGGAATGTGATTCAACGCTGTGGAAAAACTGCATTAATCTTGCAAGGTATTTTGCTTTTCAAAGAAAATTCAAATAGAGAAGCCTCTGAAAACTGACCGTAAACACAAAGCTTTGGAACAAAACAGACATTTTGATTTGATTATTCCTAGATTGTAAGCAAATTCTTCTAACATATTCAACTGAAAATGGTTTCTAGGCTTGCTCACGTGATAAAGGAGCAGCACATTCTGAATTTACCTATCATGTTCCAGCTTTGATGAGTTTGCTGGAAAAGGAAATACACACTTCTACTGCTATGGGCAAGATGCTAAGTACATAATTTAATGTCACATAACATGCCATGCTTAGATGCTATTTTGTTGAATTTATAACAGAAAATCTTTAAGTTGTTGATGCTAAGAAGTATTGAGTTGCATCATGAGAAAGCTCAATTTTTCCAAGGTTGTTTTCCCCTGTATTTGAACAGTGGGAGAAGGAATTTGGAAAAAACTTATTTTGTTGTCTTTTTAAAACAATACTTCAGTCTCTTTTCCCAGTGCCACAGAGTAAGGTAGAGAAGTCTTCGTTAAAAACCACTTTTCCTGAATTGGAAGCAAAACTTCTACCAGGTCAGTTCTGATGACTGAGGTGAAGCTCATGAGGTCAGTACATGTGTAAGGAAGCACAGGGTCCACACTTCTTTTAAGGATCAATCTCCAAAGCATATAATCAGCAAAAGAAACAATTCCCTGTCAGCTTAAGAGCAAACTTCTAGTTTGCAGCCTTTTTCTCTGTGATGCAAGCTTCCATTGACCAAGCAGCTTAGTAGCAAAGAGCAGAGAAGAGGTAGAAGGAAGCAGAAAGTCAAAAGCCACTTGCTAAGGTCGGTTTGTGTCAATTTATGTCATGAAAAGAGCTCTGAGAGGAATTTCTTTGAACACTGAAGTCTTTATTTACCCACAGACAGATACAAAAGGGGTGGCTGTCCTGCATCCTGCCTTACTAAATGTGTTTGTGGCCCCACCTAGGAGGAGGGCAGGGGGCTGTAGGCTCCACGACCGATCTGATAAGCGATGGTGTTTCTGCAGCAGTGACATCAGTAACTACTGGAGCTGGTGGCTTCTAGGAGGGGGAATCTGCCTATTAGGACATTGGGAGTAACTGTTCCAGGGTGCCGGAGTCTATGTACGAAGAGAAAAAACAATGAAACAACTACAGATTTAACAAATTATAAAAACAGTGGAATGTAAAGGTAAGATTTTATAATAACTTATTTAAAGGTATTCTTATAAAGTCTTCCTTACATGGTACAGAATTCAAACAAATAATGGTCCCAATGACATAAAGTTCCTTCATTTTGTTTCAAAGTGATGAGGATAATCTTTCTGTTTTACTACCTGATCTCACTTTCCTGAAGACGCGATAGAAATGTACACAACACATTTTTTTGGTTTTCATTTTAGGCACAGGCCTATGCTTCAGTCCTGGTATAACAAATATCTATAGAAGAGGGTAAATTTCCCTCCAACTCAACTAAGAAATCTTCATTGTTTCCTTGAGTGCAAGGCTTGGCGTACCAGTTTAAAGACACAAACATGAAACATTTTCCCCCCATTTTGAACTGAGCTGTTTTATCCATAATTATTATTATATAATTATTTTGGGGAAAAAAACCCAACACTTTCCAACAGTGTTTATAGAATGGGTTAAAAGAAAAAAACACATCTGTTTGCTTACAAAATAGAAATCGAGGAGTTCAGGACAAGGACAAGGCTGCATTTAAAATCTGTTTCAGTTAATAACTCCTAATAACACCAAAGTTTCAAGTGTTGGGAACAAGTGGGGATTTCAGTAATTCCAAAATCTAAATCTGTAATCAAATTCTGAAGAAAAAACGTTTGGAAAGAAACTTACATTTTATGATATAGCAAGGCTTCAATTTCAAAATGGCTACACAGAGTTTCTGCACTACCAAAGGGAAACTAAGCTAGAACATGCACAAATTCTTCAATGAAGGCACACATTCTGTTTACATAGGCTGGATAACATGGCACAAGTCAAAACACTGCCTAATCAGTCACACACCAATGACACGCACTGGGAAGAAACAGGTAAAGACATTTTTCTCTACCATTTTTTCCTAGTTCTAGTATTATTTCCATTAAAACTAAATCTTGTGTTTTTATCTCACTGCAAGAGGAAAACCCCATGGGAGCAAAGAACTCAAAGCAGCTTTGCTGACACAACACACTGGTCATCAGCTAGTCAAGAGCACAGCTCCTAAAAAAACTCAAGAATGATTTTGAGCTGCCTGCCAAGTCAAGTAGCCAGTTCTACATAAACTGTACAAAAAGGAATGGAGTCAGGCTAAACTTCATGTTAAAACTGTTCCTCATATGCTTTTTTTTTTTTCCAAAAATTGCCTTCACTTTTAATTAGTTGTTTGGCACTTGGGCAGCTAGTCAAGCTTCACCTTCTGTTCCATTGTCTCATCCATGGTTTTCTTTTTTGTTCCTCCTTGGGCATTTTTTGCATTACCACAAAGTTGCAATGCCTGGAATCCCAGAATTCCAAAGAAATGTCTGCCTCTGCATTGTTTGGCATTGAGAAAAGAAACATTTTTTCTCCAAACAGTAGGCTTGGTATTATTTATTCTTACTAAAACAACAACAAAAAAATCCTAGGGCACTGGGCCTAGATTGCAAGACTTTAAATCCAGTCCTGTACAGCTCTGCAAGATCAAATCAATTCTATTCTGCTGGAATGAAATACAGGAAAAAATAGTATAGAAAAAGGTCTCTTACAGTGCAAGATTTCCCATCTCTGGTACAGGGAGTGCCTTTCCCACCACGTACCATAAATCTCAGTGGGAAGATACTGAAAAATACGGGTTAAGAATCGCTGGAGAGTTATTTCATAAGAGCACAAATTGTTCTGTGTGTGGTTATTGTCAGATATGCACCTGGGTCATGAATGGCATCCAAGCACTTGCTCAAAAACACACAAGGCAAGTAAATCTCATTGGGACCACAGACCAAGCCATTTCTCACTTAAAAGGACTCAAGAGCTAATATCTTCTTTCAAGGATATACTATTTTAAACATCTGTTGATTGACAAATACTATCTCAAAATCTATGTTTATGCCTACTTGCTTTGATATTAACCTACCTCCAACCTGAAAGAAGATTGGAGGGAACCTTATACATTCGTAACAATTCAAGTGTAACTGTAATGCTGAGTAATAAGTTTGGTTTGTCCTGAAATTTTCTGAACTATGTAGTTCGTTATCAGTGCAGAAGCAGCAGAAGACTGCTGTGGTTGGCTCAGTGGATTTATAAAACAAAACAAAAACAAAATAAAACAAAACAAAAAATCCCCCCCGCCCCTCCCCCCCGTAACCTTTACAGAATATATGTAAAATTGTGTCCTTCCCTGGTAATATTCACAACTTATCTACAAGATAGTGTTGGCAGTAGTAACTGCAGTCCATGACTATTTGCATTCGGCTCTCATCCATCTGCTCCTCTCCTTTCTCTTAGGCTTCAACTTGTTCAGTTTTTTGCGGGGTTTCTCAGTCTTCTGAGTTTCAACAGAATCCACCCCGAGAACATGTTCAGAGCAGCATAACTGTCCATTCAATGTAGAATTTAGTACTGTCCCATCTTGGTGTTCCTTGCAAAAAGAATTTGGGCAGAAGTGGCAGAATGAAACAGAAGGTTTGCCACAAACATCACAGTGGTGCCAAGGACACTCCCACTTCCCTATGATCAGAAACAAAGAACAAATTAGTAGGGAGTAAAAAATGTCATTGTCTTTTAAAGAGTTTTGCCTTTTAACATCTGAACAACATACAATGTCCTTCAGAAAACGAGATGAGACAGCAAATACTACGGCCAATCTCAAAAATCAAAATGCTACATCATACTTCTGAAGCTCATCTGACATTATTGAGTAGCAGACTTGACATCCTTTCATTTAAATACAGCAGTGAATTCAAGTAGAAGAAATTATTCAGGTTTTATTTGGTAGCATTTCACAGAAATTGCAGGCTGGCAGAATACTCAAGAAGGCCAATGGCATCTTGGCTTGTATCAGAAATAGTGTTGCCACTGTGTTGCTCCACAGTAGGAGCAGGGAAGTGATTGTCCCCGTTTACTCAGCTCTGGTGAGGCCACAGCTTGAGTACTGTGCTCAGTTTTGGGCCCAAGAAACACATTTGGGCCTACAAGAAAGACATTGAGACCCTGGAGCGTGTCCAGAGAATGGCAATGAAGCTGCGAGGGGTCTGGAGCACAAGTCTTATGAGGAGTGGCTGAAGGAGCTGGGATTGTTCAGTGAGGAGAAGAGGAGGATCAGGGCTGAGGATCAGGGGTGACTTCATCACTCTCTACAACTACTTGAAGGGAGGTTGTGGTGAGATGGGAGTTGGCCCCTTCTCCCATGTAACTAGCAATAGGACTAGAGGGAGGAGAGATTCAAGGTTGGGTATCAGGAAATACTCCAAGAGAGCGGTCAAGTGCTGGAATGGGCTGCCCAGGGAGGTGATAGAGTCACCTCTCTGGAGGAGTTCAAGAAGCACTTAGATGTTGTACTGAGGGCCATGGTTTAGTGGGAAATATTGGTGATAGGTGGACAGTTGAACTGGTTGATCTTGGAGGTCTTTTCCAACCTTGGTGATTCTATGATTCTATACACTGTGCAGTTCTCACTATACAAAAAGAATGATTTCAAAGAGATAATTGTGAGGTTTCTGTGCAATAAATGAGTTATTTGGTCAAGTTAGGCAAGGTGACTCACCAAAAGGACGTTTCACTAAACCAAGACAGGAGAGATGATAGGCTTTAGTACAAGATTTCCTGTCACACAACACCAGCTGGCCTCCATCACCACAACGAAAACAATCATCTTCAGATTCTTTCTTCCCTTCATTTTTCATTCTACGCCTCCGTGTTCTCTTTTTGGTCTTTTTGCCTTTTTCTTCTGAGGCATTAGTGGAAGAATTCTAAAAGATTAAGTTGCAAATCTGTAAATGTCAGTTTTGCAAAAGAAAAATTTTACACAAATAAGCAAAACTGTTGGCATTTCTGGTAGACAGTGCATACAGGCAAAAATTTAACTCGGTGCAGACCAGCATCCACTTCTCTTCTTTAAAGAACAGACAGAAGAATTTCAGGAACTATAGCTGTGTCCAAAGTGCTAGTAAGAATACACCAAACCATACCCTTATTTTAATCTGACATTTTCTGCTTACATTTTATACTATTCTATCCACCAACGCAGAGAGTCCTGCTGAATGGAACTGTAATATTTCATTTCTTCATGGCTGTCTGCATAAACTGATCACAAGCTTATATGAAACCCTGCTTAAGCCTCTCCCTTAAGGAAAAACAGCAATGCAAATTCTGGAGATTTTAAGCCCACCCTCTGAAGCACCTGATGCTGAGCAGTGTGAACACGAAGGTTTTTATATTGACAGCTGAGAATTTTTTTTTCACTTGGGAACATGCTTGTGCCTGCCCTTGCACTCCTTCGCCAGGTCTGGATGACAGGTTTTAAATTAATGTGACCTAAATCACACATGAATTGTGACACAATTTTAAATCTATTCCCCCCCCCCCCCATTATGTTTACTTTTTAAAACTCCCATTTTTTATTACTTAGTTAAACTTCAATTGGAAGATCTTTAATGAACTTAGCACACATTCTCAATTTTAAACAGACAAGTACGAGCTGAGAAGTCAGAATAACTTCACTGGCTGTAGCCAGGGCAGGATAGGATTTACTCAGTAACATTCAGTTTCGTGCTACCACCTCACCCTGAATTCAGTCTAGTGCAGCACTTGAGTGCCTTTGGTCAGTTTCTTTTAGTGTCTAGCTCCTACATACCTCCAAGGGGACTGGGACCAACTGAAGGCTACTCCAGTTAGTGCCAGTACCTAGCCATCTTTCCCATTCAGGACCTGACATGAATAACTTTTACCACAACACAAAACTGGTTCGCCTACACATATCTCAAAAGGAAAAAAACAAGGCTAATAGTTAGACAAGACATTGTCAAATTCTTGTGACATATTACTTGCCTTTGGTCTGTCCCCAAGAAATCCACTGCAGTTTGGGGCACCACATTTGCAGACTGTTTTTTCATTGCCCAGACAGTCAAGGTTGTAATTGAAAGTCAGCTCTGTCCCTGAGTGAGATAAGATGTACTGTTTTATTACGAAGGACGAGGTAATGAAGTCTATCAAAATTATTACAACAAATAAAGGTTTTATTATCTGTCTTCTGGTTTTGTACTTGCTTGCTGATCTATTCTGGTAAGTTTTTTTTTCCCTTTTTTACCAATCACAAGCACTGACCACATAGGCCACGTACCTATATATCTATATATCTATATATAGCTGTAGATATGTGCAATGCAACTTTATCTGTTGCTATATGTACACATGTGTGTGCGTTTGTGTACACAAACCAGAATACACATAGTTTCAAACATCCTTTTAAGATACACTTAAGTTTATCTTCAGTTGAAGAAAAGATGCAGAAAGGTCTCTAAAACAAAAAATGCTCTACTCTTTTGACAGACAACACAAAACGAGTGCGTGGATAATAAGAGCTCTTTGGTGAAACCTTAGAAGTAAGCAATAAAAAACAGCTGTAGGATTCACTGTGAAGAAGCAATACATTAAAAGACCAAAAGCATCTCTTTCATGTGCTGAGTTCTTTACAAAATTACTTTTACCGAATCAGTTAAATGATTTAATATAACTACATAAAATGTTTAGTTGAGAGAATTAAAATAAAGCCAACATAAAGTGGAATACCTGCAGGAATATCACACACAGCAAACAGGCCAACACGAGTATCTCCATTTACCGTCCATTTCAGAGTTTCACAATTTGGTTGGCAGCTGTGATTCATAAAACGAGAATAGTTCCCTTTGGGGCCAGCATCAATAATACGGTCCTGGAGATCAAATCAGCAACAGAATGAATGTTTTTACTTTCAAAACAGACATGGTTTGGCTACCCAGAAAAGCCAAAGTAAATCGATGTTACATGTTGTATTGAAAACTGTAGTGTCCCATGGGGACTGAAATGAGACACTCCCAAAGCAATACTCTTGATCTAGCTCACATTGTCCCAGAACCCATCTCAGCCACGTGGCAGGATATGTGTTCTTGTGAGCACTCTGGTGGTCCTTCCAAAAAGCCTCAAAACTCAATTTGTTTACCTTTTGCTTTGCATTCAAAAAGCTGTTATGCATTTACAAGTACTATGCTTTATGTTATTCACCAAGTCCCTGAATGATTACTTACAGAGATTATCAGTTTCTTACCAGCTTTCTCTCCCCAGATCAGCCTACTTCACAAGCTGATGATGTATGCCAGTTTAGTAAAGAAGTGAGAAACTCGAGCATTAAGACAAACATGGTTTCATCTTTCTTAGGCAATGCCTGTGCGATAGCTCCTAGGTTACAGAGCTAACAAAAACCAGTAGCGGCAGAAATACAGAGCAGCACAGTCTTGGGGAAAAAGTGATTAGGACTGCAAAAATATGCAGGATTGGCATCCAACTCTTCTTTCCTTGGGGATACTTTTTTTTCTCCTAAATAGCTGTCTGGAGACTAAAGCAACGTAAAAAGCACGTGTTTATAATAAGTCTGCCCTGGTCTACTGGTTTCCCATTTCTTCCTCTCAGGAACAAAACACTCAGAGAGCTGCAGAGAAAACTGCAGATGCTAAATTAATTTGCTGCACTGGCCAGAATCAATTTGTGCTGTGCTAACTGGCTACTAATGAAAATGGTACACGCAGGAAAAAGTTGCTACAAAAGCCATGAGCTTCTTTTTAATGTAAGCAAAAGAAGGGGTAGATAGTTAAAAACATAAGTTTAAATGCCCAATATAGGATGCAGCCTTAAAATTATGTTCCACACTTCACACAATCTATGTTTTTTTAACTTGAAACTGTAGTAAAAGTATCATTAACAGTAATTCTTTCTACTGCAGTATTTCCCAAAAGTTCACACTTCCTCTTGACATTGGGCAGATGAATAGTTCTGCTGTAGTCGATTTCAAGCATCAAAGCATAAAATGTATGGATTTTAATATATGTGATATTACATTACCTATTTTGAGTCAATGAGATAGATACATTACACACTGAGAAGGGAGGAAGCAGGCACAGAAATACAAACTTATGAATATTTGAAACAGCAGAGCATCACAGACAGCTGAGTGACCCACCATGGTGATCAAAAGAAGGAAGAGGAGAGAAATCAAAGTACTGTTACAACTGAAAGCAGGGAATAACTTTTTAAATACTCTACCTTATCAATAGTAAGCATATAGAAGTGAGTAATGTCATTTTCATGTGCATATTTGATTCTTGCCATACATTCTTCTTCATCAATGAGCTCACCAACATACTCATTCACAAACTCTCCCTGAAAGATACCGAATATCACTAGTGAAGTATATACCAAACCCACAAACAACACCACAGGTTAACAATTCCTTGCTAGGCAAGAATGATGCATACCTTTTTAATGTCCCTCTTTGCAACCAAACCCCATCCTTTCCCATCTGTTTTGATGATCTCTGTCTCAGGGTATTCACGTTTTGTAAAGCACTGGTTTTGGCATCGTTCTCCTGCTGGACAAACTTGTGGATGACATTCATACATCAACATCCGATTGAGGCACTCAGAATCAAAGCCACAAGGGTTTTCATCTGTGGGTTTGCAGTTGCACTTGGGAATCTCAGAAATGTCAGCAGTATATATCTGCACTTTACCACAAGGTTTATTCACCTGAATGATACATTAAAATAGTTCAAACATCACTTTAAAACATTAGCATTTATGGTAAGAATTATTACAGTTGTTAATAAGTTGTTTTTGCAATAATAGATGTTCCAAAAGTAATGAAATTTCCTAATTACGTGACTCTAAAGGTAAAGTTCAGTTACCAACACAACATTACAACCTTTGCTCCCCATCTATTCAGCTTTTCCTCCCCAGTGATTCCCTAGATCTCCGAGTATCCAGTGTCATGTCTTCTTTACCTTAATATGCTTGTATGGTGGAGGTCTACGTTCACTTTCTTGGGTTTCTTTGGCTTCTCGCTGTAGCTTTATTTCTCGAAATCGAGCTTCAGCTTCTTGCAAAGCTTAAAAAAAAAGAAAGGACTGTTGTATCAACAAAAACACTAGAAAGAAAATGACTCTCCTCAAGCTGACCTGTGTTAAAGAAGCATTTCTACTTCCTAGCTAAACCATCAATTTTCCTGCAAACAATGTTTCTAGAGTGTTAACACTCTTAACAAATTTATCAGTTCTACTCTGCTTCCCAGTTCTATTCAAGCTTTGCTTCCCAAAAAACTGAAGTCATCAGAAAGAATTTCAGTTAGATGCTAGTCTTTTACACGTATATAAGCATGTATACAACGAGATTATTCTTCCTTTACTTCTAACTATGTACCATTTTTGAAGACTTTTCCAATTCCTTTAATCCCCCGGTATCTACTCCCTCTGTCTCCCTCCATATAAGGGAACACCCGTGCTTGATGTGTCCAAAAGTAATCCTTAGAACCAAAGAAAAATACAGGAAATTCTCCAATTTCATGCTTCATTTTCTGGATATTTGGGGGAACATTTTTCGGATGGCAAACTTCTGCAGGCCACCATCTAGCACAGAAATACAAACAGAAAAACACAAAATGTATGTAAGCTTAACGAAATCACTTTGAAAAGCAATTACTGATTATTACTTCCAAATATAGGATGAAAAAAACCAAAGCGCCTCAAAATAAAATGCAAAACAAAACACCCAGAAGGAGATTCGCTCCTGCCCACGCTCCAGCTCAGTAGGCATAGGAAGAAGATTGGGTAGAAAAGGAAAGCCTGACACTCAGATCTATGGGACCTCTGCCTGCTTGCAAGATACACATAAATCTCCTTGCATCTGGTTAGCAAAAATAACATCTTTAACAAAGTCTGCAATCTCTATACTTGGTAAAGGTCAAGTGACAGCGTGTAACAGCTAGTAATGCTTTCTAGGGTAAACCCCACCCATCTCTATCACACTCAAATCTCAATGTAAGTGTAAAACTCTTGACAGCCTGAGCGACTTATTTTCCAGCCAAGGAAGACAGTGATTCAGGCTATTACAAGTTATATACACTCAATTATTTGAAAAGAACTCTGAAACAAGGGGCAGAAGGCCAATATGGCAAAAGCAGAGAAGTCTGCAAGGAGTCTTGTATGGGCACTGCTGTGGCAGAGAGCAATAGCAAAGCTTTCAAGTCTTGGAACAGGGGTATTAAGCACAGGCAAAGCTCTAAGGGAGATGTGGTTCCCAGCTTAGAGACATGGGAAATCTGTGTGCAGCAAGGCACAGAACAGCCAACTCTATGATCCTTCATTAAAACATGCCAATATCACTGTAAAAGAAAACAAATTTTTCATCAGACCTGTAATTTCCCAGTTTAACCCAAATAATATCCTGGAAATGGAGTTTCTTCCCTGCCCTGCAGTCATTGCAGTACCAGCTCCCATCTGGCATTTCGATGTTTAAACAGTCCGGGTGAAATGCTGCAGGACACGACTCGCAGCACAACAAGCTTCCTCCTTCCAAGAGAAAAAAAAGATTGACAAACATCAAGACAAAAAAGAAAGATTTGCATTCCAACCAGATTCAAAGCAGTGAGGTTTGTGGTAGGGTCTGCCAGAAAATAGTAGTTAAAACATGCCAGCTTGCAACAAACACACATCATCTAGCTGTGCACAGAAACCAAATGGTCTTAACTGATTTGAATGCCTGGCAGACTCCAGTTAGTAAATACATACAAATTAAAAAGCAAGCTAATGATATAAAAGCCAGAATAATGCACCACAGGGAAATTATTATTTTTTACTTTAATGACTACAATATATTTAACATAGCTTAATATATATTAATAATTCACTGTATGTAACATTTTAACAACAAAAATTAAGTCTAATTAAATTTCTCTTTCTCTATTTTTTCCCCTCTGGAGAAGAGGTAGGGATGAGATTGCCTGTTCCATGAATTACCATCAGAAAGTTAGCTGCTGCTTAGTAAGCTGCTATGCTGCATGTTAATTTGTTAACAAATCAGGTAAATTCTCATTGCCAGGGATTAATCAGCACGATGCATTTTGTGCTTCTCAATACGAAGTAAATTTATTAGTCAGCATAAAGCAAAACGCCCTTAATTAGTGGCACTCCAGACACTAATATGGGTTCAATTTGCTGTCTGCTTCTGAAGTAAAAGCAACTCTTAAAATATTTATGTTTTAATATTATGTATGAGCAATAAGGAAACACAAAAAGCTTCAGTACATTGAACACAGGGGAAAGGACAAAGAAGGATTTATCATTATGCATCTCTGGTAAAGAATTAGATCAGGTTTCTGGTCTGAGTGAAAATATTCTTTAATAAATTATATCTGCAAAGAAAGGACGCTCAAAAACTAGAAGCAGCACAAGCCAACTTGAAGGTATTTCAATACCTAAGGGAGATGAACTTAGCACGCCACATTTCTAATAGCTTTCTGTAAAGAGATTAGTAAAATAAAATTTAAATTGAAGAATAAAACATTTTGATGCTGCACCTACGTAAGAGCTTTGCATCAGTTTACCTTTGGAACACACAAAGCACCAGCTCACATTGACATGCGCGTGATGACTTTTTCCTTTCATGGCAGTGAAATGATTCGTACAAACAATGCTGTTGGAAGCGATGACTGCACATCCCGCAGCAATGCACACGTCTCCAGCATGGTATGCAACAGGACAGCGAACACAGCGCATCATCTTTCCTAGCAAAGCAGAACACTGCCATATTTATCTTTGAACAAAACCCGTTGAGCACTTGCTCTTCACAGATAGTATTACTGCTGGTTAATACCAGAAATGTTTCAATTATGTTTGCAAGGTTTGCATTTTTACTTTCAGAACAACACTGAATTAACGAAGATTTTTAGAGAACATTATACCGAGCTTAAAGCACCACCACATTTAAATACAAAGGCTTCAGCTATGAACAGAGCAGACAATCTTTTCTCAGTCACACGGTTGTGTTTACAAACGTTTCCCAAGATGCACAGAATCATACAAAATCATAGCATGCTTTGGGGTGGAAGGGACCTTAAAGCCCACCCAGTCCCAGCCCCTTGCTGTGGGCTGGTTGCCCCCCACCAAATCAGGCTGCCCAGGGCCCATCCAACCCAGCCTTCAGTGCCTCCAGGGATGGGGGGCCCACAGCTCTCTGGGCAGCCTGTGCCAGGGCATCACCACTCTCTGAATAGAGAACTCACTCCTCACTGTATGTTCACATTCAGCAAGTCTTGTGCAATACCTGAATCAGTCAGTAGTACCTGTATGCCTGTAATACAGTGAGGAACTACAACATGAGCAGATTCCTTACCTCAATATACCATAAACAGACTTATTTATCAGTCATAAACATGTAAAAATGAAACTACCTTTTGAAATTCGTGGATGGGAGGGGTTACTAACATGACAACTGAGGCAGCTGTGCAGAGGACATCGAAAACCCCTGTTCTCAAACACGGTAAGATGGAATTTTTTCACACAGGCTTCATGGTAGAATTTTCCACAGTGGGATACAACACAGCGCTTCAGATCTGCCTTCCTCTCTTTACACACAAAGCAGGTATGCACACCTAGTGGCAAAAATAATAAAAATCATGTAACTAATTTTTCATTCAGACCTGTGTATTTAAAACACTGGGAGTTTTTGTTGTGTTTTTTTTTTTGTTTGTTTGATTTTTTAATTCCATTATTTGAAGCAGCAATATATCTGCTTTGACTCCTCAGTGTTCAATACTGATTTGTTTAGATACAGATAAATAAAACACAACAAAAATAAAGTTACAATGGAAATCCACCACAGTTAATGTGTGCATATAATACTCAAAGCCTCACTGATCTGCTTTTGTGTTCTTATTCATAAGTCTCAGTATGCCAGGACAACTCTGAATTTTGTTTTTAAGGCAATGAAATAGGATCCTACTTTGTTAGCAATCCTGTAAAATTTGACTTGTAAGTCCACAAACTAAGGACGAGTATCCTCCAGTCTTCTCTCTGGACTGCTTGGAACAACCTTATTTAGGAGAAGTCATTTTTCTCCAGCAAGGTTCACCACCTGACTGAACTGAGTTTATGAGCAAGAACACAAATCTTCATGTAACATTTTGAGATTAAGAGCTTCCAAGCAGTTATTGCAGGATTAAAAGCAAACTAAATTAATAGCAGTAAGGTGGTCTTTTAATGGGAAAAGCAAAAGATACATGCAGACACAAAAAAAACTGAGAAAAGACTTAAAGTGTTTCATTTGCTGTTTTTTTTTCCATGGATTTCTTAGGTCTTTGAGGCAGACCTTAAATCTACTCTGTAATTGTACACAGACAGACACAGTCTGCAATTATTAAGGCAGTGGAATTCAGAGCAAATCAACCAATCTGCAAGAGATTTCTCACTGAAAATACAGCGAGTATCCTAAATCATGGCACAGTTAATGGTAATACATGAATTTCCACACCATCAGGCACCAAGAGGAAAGTACAATTTGTTCAGATACATAACCTGCATGGGATGATTTCCTGCAACAACGTATGGGAAAATTACAGCTTTTCTTTTTAAAATTTAATACAAAGGGACAAACTTGCCTGATGTACATTCACTACAAACGAATTTTCCTGCTGGTCTTCCAGAGAGCCCAAGGCAGCTCACGTGAAAAGCTCGATAGCAAAGTCCTTCACACAGCAGGAGATCACCTGTTTTTTCACATAGCTTTTACAACACAAAGGCATTTAAGGTTAAAGAAAAGTTCATATGCAGAAAAAATAGAATTCACTATTCCTTTCCATAAATTGCTCCTCAAAATCTCTTTTCCCATGGGCGAAATCATATTTAACAAGAAAAAGACAACACTGCAAGTATCATCACGTGCCCTTGCTTCCTGTTGCAACAAATACTAGTCATTAAACTGAGAAATACCACTGATAGAAACATGGTACATGAGAACATACCCAGATAAAAAGAAACGAAAACAGCTTTAAGAATGTTTCCCTGAATGGCATCTGAGCAGGTTTAGGATAAACCTTATTTTCCCTTTCTTTGGCAAAGGGAAAATAGTCTAGGAGACATAATGATACCTCTATACCCACGCTGTTAGCAGTGACATAAAAATAAAAATGAACTCAACAACAATGCTGGCAGAACTTAAGGGATTAGACAACATTTAAAGATAGATAACCAAACCATCATCACTATGTACAAGAAGAAATGGAAATATAACTGCTTTTCCAGTCTGCTGGAAACAACTTCAATCTGCCCAGAGCTGTCGTGTCACCCTTTCATAACCTACGAACTCTGTAAGCATAGATCCAGGAAGCGTTCTGCTCGCAGTGAGCGTGCTGTAAGTGCAGTGCAGCCACCTCTGCTGTGCTCACACCGAAGCACACAGCCATGTCAGATTTCCTTCTGTGTAATAGCAGACAAGCAAGCAGTTCTCTGTCATTTAATCCAGTGACCTGGCAAACCTCATGTGCTGTCCTTGAGGTACAAATCACATTTATTTTACTCATCCGGAAACTAAACCAGAAAGGCTAAGTCACTTATTTTAGATCAAGAAAAAAAAAACAAGGAAGAATTCCATTTACTGATACGGCAACATGTTCACTAATGTCTCCTCCATGCTGTAGGCACAATAAATCTGCGTCTGCCTTAATGTTGTCATTTTCACATTAAAAAAAATCCCTTTTCCAGGATACCTCAGAAAACACAGCTCCCTGCCCAGCTACCATCTCTCACCTGACACACATATTCTTTTTTTGTTCCCGTTCCTCGCTCAGATTTTTTGGATGATATAGACACTTCAGTCTGAGTTTCATCAGCACTTTCATAGGGAGACTCTGAGCGCTCATCTCCTGGGCCATCGAAGATCTGAAGATTAAACACACACATTAGAGAAAGCAGCCACGTATGTGAGCTTTTTTCAGAATGTCAACCAAAGGAAGCAAACAGACTGCAATTCAGGCTAACAGACTGAGGTAAGTTCTTTTGGTTTTGTTTCCCCACCTTTCAAAAGAAAATTTGATTAAATTCAGAGTATGCACTTGAGGAAGTCTCATCAACAGGACAGTGTAACAGCTATTGTCACAAACTCAACAATTGCCAAAACAAAACACCAAGACTTTGTAATATGGCATTTTATTTGTATTCAGTCCTATAACCCAGTTAGTCAGTGCCTAGCCAAAAACACAGGGACATGGTAAAAACCCACCATTAAAGCTTGAATACATGCTTTACATGGTATTAACAATGCATTTTAGAAAGAAACTCAGTAAAACTTCAAGCTGTATACCAGAGTCTCTGACTCAAATATCCTTCAAGAGAGTGGCAACGTTATACAGAAGAGAGAAAAACTATATGTAAGGAATGTCACAGTTGTCAATGAATTAAAATACTCCAAAAGATGACCTTGTCATGCATAAGTCTTTCATAAAAAGCCTTACCAAATGTGTTAAAGTTAGAAGATTAAAAAAAAAATAATTCATAATTAGCTTTAAGGACAAAATTCCTAACATTCAAGAGAAAACACCGTGCTGTTTTCAGTCCAACAGAATTCAGGGATGGGATGCACATACGAGTCATGTTTTCTCCCTCGTTACAGCAGAAAATGCAGAATTTCATATTGCTGCCCCAGTCTGAACTCAAAAGCATTGTTATGGCTACAGACATTCTCTATGAGAGCATCACCATTTGCAACTGCAAAACAAACCTGTCACTTTTCTTGATACTTGTTCTAATGGTTATTCACACATGTCATCAAAAATAATGCCTCGAGTTCCTTCTGAGTTGTCTAACTGCTACCCACAGCTGATGATGCTTTCTTGAGGTATTTCACTTACAACAAAAGCTCTTTGGATTTTTTCTCCTGTGGAAGTACACTGCAATTAAACCCATTTCAATCCTTTTTGGTAAGCCAAAATTCAGTCTAAATTTCTCACTACAGATTTTTTTCCAGCCTCAGGAGAATTTTGGTGAGTTTTCTCTGACTGGAGACAGTATTCCCCAAGTCTCCAAGTACAACATCCAAAGCCATTGAGCATGTGAACTTCTCCTCTGCACTGCCTCTGTTCCACTGCCTAAGGATCTGCCCCAACCTTTTCAATGAAACACTGAAACTCAGTGCTCAAGAGATCATTTTGCCAAGAGCTGTTTGTCAGGACACCAACGTTCCACTCTATATGACTTTGCTTTCTGTTTTCGCACATACAATCTTATATGCATCCATATTAAACTACACTTGATTAAAACTGGTCTGGCTCAGCAAGTAATTTAGATAGCTAAGTGCACACTCCCTATCAGGCCATCTCCACATCATGTGCAAATTCATTAGAAGTGATATATTTTGAAATCAGAGATAAAAACATAAAGACATCAGGCCCAGTATTAGTCTTTATAAAATCCCTTGTGAAATGCTGACTTTGACTGATTACTTCTCACTGTTGCTGCCAGCTAACTTGCGTTCCTCCATTTAATGTTTGTTCTCTTTGAATGTGTCTAAAATTATCTCATAAATTGGATATGTCTTTTTTTTTGAGATTACTTTCAAGACTCATATTACAAATTCATTTTCTCCGTGCAAAGGCAAGCTATTGAAGTAATTCCCACCTACATTTCATCTACAATACTTCTACAACTGGATTCATCTTGAGATTCTCCCTAATGGTTTTATAAGTGGTATCCTTCAGTGGGTTAAAAGAACTTGAACGTAAAACTGTTGCTTCCTTCAGATACCAGGAAATCTCTGATCTCTGGAAGGAGATGGAAAGTAGCAAACTGCAAATGCAGACTGTCTGCCTGGCCAGGAGTAGCCAGGTTTTGCTGGGAAATGCTGGATTAAGAAGGGTAGTACTGGAATTCAGCAGAAATCCAGAAGTGTTTTCCCTTAGGGTTTAAGTAAACTTACACAACACTCTTCATTTCTGTTTAAACTCTTCCCATTGAAACACTACTTAGTATAAGCAGTGCACTCCTCTAACCTTTTTTAGTACGTCATTACATTCCTGTTACAACTAGCTAAAATTAGTCACATACGCTAATTTAATGCTACTGGTGTCCTCTGTATTTCCCCCACAGTGAAAACTTTTTCTTAAATCCTAAGTTAAAACTTTTATACACAAATCTGAAGAGGTAAGAGAATTGTTTTCCCACCATGCACCCCCTAGAGAAGGGCACCCAGCTGCCCCAGCTCCCTGCTCAGAAGGCAGAGCACAGAAACAAAACAAACCCTATGACACGTATGCCAAGACAAAGAAGAATAAGGTTTGCTTTACAGCAACAGTTTATTGGCTTGTCTTTGGTTTACGTAGTAGTAAATAGTCAAATGAAGGATGCATATGAAAAGGTAATCCTACGGATGGATGGAAGCCTTTCACAAACCCCTTAGACAGGGGCTACAAAATCACAGCCATGCACGAACCACAGATTGAAAACCACTTCCTTATAGACCTGGAATTTTACTGCCCTACTTAGGGTTAATGCAATAGCCCATCATTTACATTGAATGGTTACTGTGCTAAAGCAGTGCTGGCAAGAATTGGATGCTACCGTCACAGCCACAAAACCCAAATTCTTGCAAAATTTTAAGACAGAACTTGGCAATTCACAGCAGCCTATAGATTCATGATGGATCTCATGCATGAATACGCAGCACATGAACAAAATATCTGTAGACAATCAGCTACAATGCTACCAGGCTGAGAGTATCTTGCAGGAAAAATACCACCTCTGCTTTGCAATCACCAGGAACCCTGAGCAAATCACAGATCAGACCTCCATTCAGCACCAACACTGCACTAAGCAGCCGAGAGGGACACACTGCTGCAACGTCAAAAGATCACTCAATCTCTAACTTTAGCATTGGACTTAAATTGCTTTGTGCAGGGTGCTACAATCCCAAAGGTCCATCCCACCCAACACTCAGAGCTACTATCATCAACACTTGAGTTTTCATGGTAGCTAATTTTAGGGAGCAAACGACAGGCATGGTGAGCAGAGTTCCTCTTACACTTGTAAGAGAGGGATGCCTTTCTGGAGGAGAATTCCGAGTTTAAACTCATGTTCTCAATCTCACTTTCTACCACTCATCTCCTCAGTAAATAACTCTATTCCACACACTCATTCTTTGGGTCTGCTCCCTGTGATCAGAGCCAGAATCTGGGAGCTCAGCTCCCGAGGCTATCCAGGAAAAGCTGATGGAGATAGAACCGAGCCAAATGTGTCCCTGTCCCCTGAAGGCCTGTGAGAGGCTGGGACAATCTGTCGAAAACATTTTTTGGAGGACCTACAACAAAATGGCACGCAGAACAGGAAAAGGCCGGGGCGACTGCCTGCAGCCTGAGCATGCTGCGACAGCCCAGCCAGGGCTCCCAGCCACCAGGGAACAGTTCCACAATAAAAATACCTTCTGATTAAAAACGCTAACTGAAGCGGATTTATAAGACGGCTGGAAATCACTTTCTGCAGTAAAACAGTGCCACCTCTAAAATTAAACATTAACACTCGTGGGATTTGTTAACACAGCTAATACGTCACATCGTGACAGATGTGATGGATGGATATGCATTCAGCACAAACCAATACAAGTTTTTGTGGTCTTTTTCTTTTTTTCTAAAATTGTTAAGTCAAACGTGAATCTTCTTTGTGATCATGCCAGAGCTTGCCCTTATTTTTGTAACATAATCTCCCTAGAAAAGTAAATTGCACATAATTACCTCTTCTGATATTTAGGCAAAGGTTCAAAGGAAGCCACGCTTAGATTAGTGGCGAAACCTGTTAATTAGTAATTCACAGCAGTTCCCGGTTTGCTGTGTTATTCTGTTGCACATGTTGAGTAATACCTTACTTTTCATAAAGGCAAAGTAAAACTTTTAAGACAGTGTAAATTTAGGGGGAGAAAAGGCAAAGCTGTTCAGCTCAGCTGTGCGACTGACAAGTTGCAGCAATGAGAGCACTCCCAGTCCTGTCATCACAGGCGTTCTCCATTAGCAATTAACAATGCTGTAGCACGGAACCCGCATCCTCACAAGCACCAGCACACTTCACATTCTGCACGGCAGACAGGCTTTCCTCTCAACTACAACTCAGTTTCAGAGTAGTTGCTGTTAGAGGCTTTCACAGGGCGCTGGCTGAACACAGAGCAACCAGCTGATATTTGAAAACTCAAATCCAGGTCTTTTTAGTGAAAACTGCATCTGCGAGCACACAGGAGATAGGAGAGAAAGGGAAAAATCTGAGTTGAAAACAAGGACTAATTGAAATCATCAGGAGCTTTACTTCCTGCTCCCCTCAGATTCTCACAGCTATCTTTCCTTTTGGAAGTACGTTATCCACTGCTCACACGCATGAGACTCAGAACGTGGAAGGACACGTGATTGCCTTTTTTTTAGACAACTTTTTTTTTTTTTTAAACACGCTTTCTATAGCTTTGTTGTTGGGAAAATATTCATTACTGAGTCAAACTGGAACAACATTTTTGGCATCTCCGTACATTCTTTGGTTTTAGTATGGTATTTTTACCATGTTTTAGCAACTGAAAGATACAAACTCTGGCAACAGATCACAGTATTAAGAATTGGGTCTACTGATGTCAACGTACACTGATCATACATCTTACGTACTCCAACGTTTGGGTAATAGTTATTCAGATCTACGACAGTACAACAATCAGGGCATCAAGACTTCACAACTCCAACGTTGTTGTAATTTCCTTTGGAACCAAGCCTTTTGCATATGTTAAAACTCCCTATTCACAATAATCAAAAGAAGCATTTAATGGATTCTTTCAGACAAACATTGACCTACTTCTAGAAAGACTGTGGAAGAATGGTTATAAAAGCAATCTCCAGCATTAATTCCTCACTGAATGAAGATGC